GTGGCCCAAAGACATTTATATCTCAGTCATTTCATCAATCATATGAAAAATATCCCAAAGAGGCAATCTATGAGAGAAGTCTTTGATTAGCAATGAACTACCTATACCGGATAGGCTGGATGGGGGATAAATGATAAACAATAATGTCCTCCAGACCGAATTTCGGTCTCGGCGGCCAGCTTCAACAGAGAGTAGCCAAGATTATGTGCAAGCGCAGGTGCACTCTCTATTCCTTCACTCTCATAGACCATCAGGCGCAAGATCAACGTGCTTTCCGAGACACGGGAATGAAGAAACACGACCAATTTTGTGACTACGGGCAGCTTAGGAGAATTTCTTGACAGAACAACTCATTATCAGATTTTGGTTTGGTCAGACCTGGGATTTTTCGGGAAAGAGGAACGCGACTGCATGAAAAATATAATATATAAAAACAACGACGTCTATTTAAAAACAAATTTTAAGCGTTCTTGACATGACACTTCGTGGTGTAGGAATTGTATGATAATGTAAGTGTTTAGTTTAAGGACGTAGTACATTTTTGACGAGCTCTAATTAAGGTATTCGAATTTCAAACTAACTTATATTATACCTAATTAAACTTGATACTTGCCAACCAACAATGGAAGAAAACCGAAGCGTTCCGTACATATTAAGTGCAGTAACCATGCTCAAACTTCTTGATACGCACTCTCGCACACATCTTTTTTCTTTCTTTGTTTATCAGCCCGTAAAAGTTTACCGATAGACGCACACATGGGTGCACCTAAAGCCATATTAATGATTGCAAATAATTTTAGTACATATACGTGAGTACGTGTTCTTGCATTAAGGTGAGGCTTAGTTTTTCCATACCTTAAAATGTACGCAGTTTTACTTTCATTGTTGGTGTGAGGATACTTACAAGCAACCAAAGTTGTATTTGATGGTAATATAATCCCGTCTAGTGACACTGTCATAAACTTGGAAGTCGGTAAGACTTTATCTTGGGGTCCTCAGTTACAGGAAGTTAGTCGTAAACTTTTTGCAGCTGCTCATTCTTTGAGAAAACTGCGAAATTTTCACCAACTGCCACTAAGAGTGCGCTTGCACAAACTCTTCTGCTTCTAATACTCGATTATGCAGATGTCACCTATCTTGATCTCACTGAAATGCAACTTTGTAAACTTGAGCGACATGTATGAGATTCATATATGGTTTGCGTAAGTATGATCATGTGTCAAATTTTCGTAACAGGATCAAGAGGTTGCCAATTCGCCTTCGTCGGAATGTTAATATTCTCTCGCTTTATTATAATATTCTTTTTAATTCTTTTTAGCCCTCTTACCTAAAAAATCGGTTCGAATTCCTCCATGACTCACATTTGAGATCATCAGAAAATTTGATATTAAAAATGCCAGCTGGCACTAACCAAATTTTTGGACAGATTGTGGAATGACTTGCCGTTATCAGCAAGACGCGCTCAATCCCCACCGGTTTTTAAAAAACATGTACATGATTACTATTTTCAACTTTGATTCTATCTCATTCATTTGTATATAATTATACTACATTTATCTAGTTACAATATTTGTTTATAATATATGAATCTAAGAAACTATAGCTCACATACGAGTAAAACATACCGATGAAACGACGTATAAAAGCAAACATTTACCTATTTTATTTTTGATTTTTTCATCAAACTTTGCACAGTAAAGTTGCTTTAACATTTTTCATTATTAACTATTGATTATTGATTTGTTCTTTTTTTATTTCATATATTATATTATACTCCTTTTTAATTTTTGTTTCCTTTAAATCTAATTTCTTCATATGTTACACGCATCTCCAAATACAAATTCAAAAAAAGGGCAAAATTTACTAGTTAATATTTTATTCATAACTAGCTGGTACCCTGCGCGTTGCTGCCGCAGAAAAAATAGTTGTGGATATATCGTTTCAAATTTGGAAGACGTATATTCTTTAATTAGGAATGATAGTACTACATTTATTGAAGTTGAGTGATATATTACTTTCAAATAAATTTGTCATTGCGACACTTGCGCCACCTACTTTAATTTTATTGTAATATGCCTATAACCTACGCGCAAGTAAGTTGACAAAAATTTAGCGCAGTCTGATGAACAGTATGGCAGCGCATAAAATACGAACAAATAAAAATTAATCATGCAGTGGCCTTTTAAGCCTTTTAAGCTTTTTTATGGTACTGTCGTAGAGTGTAGTTGAAGAATATGAAGTATTACTGCTTTTAATATTATTAACAGTTTCAAAAGTTTCCGTCACTCACCATACGAATGACAGGAACATTACGTTGCTGCCTAGTGTTTAGCCCAGTTTGTTTTCTCGGCACATCACTGTGTGCAGCGTCAAATTTAACTTTGCTGATATTAAATTAGTTGCGACAATTAAATTTGTGTCTTCTTACATTACAGGAAAAAGCGAAATTGGTGCTAAGTGTATCTTGCCGAGGTTAGGATGCAGTTTTCCGAAGGTAGTACTATATTTTAGTATCAGCATTGAGATAGAAGGGTGAAACAGTAAAAATGTGGGAGTTATTTTAGTTAAATTATCTTTGATGCTGTATTTAAAAAGTCGCGCCGCGTTTCAAAAGTCTGACGTGTGGTGTTTTGGATGGATATTTTTCTGCCGCATGGCATAGATCGGGTCGACCAGGGAAGAACCACTGCCTCAAAGAATACCAGAATTGAATGGCAGCTTAAGTTAAGTTGTTTTGTGTAGAGAACCTTTTTACTTTCTTTTTAAACGACTTAAAAAAAAGAGGTACTCAAATCGACTGGATGTTTTTTTATGTGTGTACCTCAGAACTTTTTTCTAGGTGAACCAATTTTGATCATTCTCATATTTGAAAGCTAGTGCTTCTCATGTAGTTCCATATAAATTTGATCAAGACCTGACCCGTAGTTTTCCAGTTATCCTTAATAATTCATAATTAATTGACTTCGACTACATTGATGATGTTTTCATTTTATTTATATTGAAGTCGGTTGAACAAAATTTTTAATTTTACCACTTCTTTTACTGGTAAAGAGGCATTATATGCCAATCCTCAGGAGTGATGACGCATCTCCATTTTGATTATTATTCGACCTAGAGATAAGTTTCTATGGGCCACAGAATTCACTTACCATCTAGGTGGACTGCGTGCTCGTTTGTCACCCTTATTCTATTAAAAAATACAAAGTAGTATATAGTAGTTACTTATATGAAATGTTATCCTTCGCAAATTATTTATTAATCATAAATTAAGATTAAGTAACTATAAGTCATCCATTTTAGTGCACCCTACCCATTGTTCTTTTTCTTATTTTTATTTATTTCTTCTTCTGGGTTGTCTGGAAGATATTGCTATGTAGCAATAAGCCCTTAGTAGTGTATCCCTCAATATTTGCTTATTTTTTCTTTTTGATATTTTTAACTTTTCTTGGTGTAAAATAAAGAGTATTGTATTGTAAGTAATTCTATTTTGCACAAAATAAAGTGTTTGAATTTTGTTGACCTGCTTAACTTTAGAGTTCAATTCACCGCATTAACGTTTTATAAATGATTGTTTTAATAAATTATTTAGTGTATAAATGAATATTTAATATTTAAACTTAAAAAAAGTAAAATCACATTTCAAATATCTGAAAAGAATAAAAAAATTTCCACATAATTTGGTAGCTTGTGAAGTCGGTGCTAAGACAGTGTATCGAAAAATCAAAGCCAATGTCATCTTCAAGTGAAAACAAGGCTGCATTTTTGATGTACACTTAAGCCGCGTATCGATTATGCGCTCCAGGAGGTCGATTATTGGCGCGTTCCAGCCGCGCGAAATTGATACCGCTATGGAATGCGCGCCAAATTGTTCGTTTGAACGTTAAGACGTGGAGCGGGCCGCTCCATCTGGTGTCGGTCGCTCCATCTGGTATCGGTTTTCGACGAGACAGTGGTGCCTCCTCCTTAAGACATGAAATTTGAGTTGCATTATCTGTTATTTATTATTCCCTATGTGTGTTATACCTCAGAATCTGAAAGTTTTTACGTGGTAGAGCCACGCTGCAGCTATATTAGTAGTATAGTTGTAGCACGAATGGGTCTGCTCGACCAGGGAAGGACCACGCTCTCACCACACCAGCGTCAAATAGCAGTTTAACACTGCTGTGTTTCGTATGGTGAGTGTCTCTACACTCTCCGGTCTCCGGTTCTCTAACCGGAGACCCTTTTTACTGGAAAATAGACATTCCATCTTAGTCCTCACGGGTGACAACGCATCTGCGTTTTGATTCGCAAACGAAGATAAATGTAGATGTATATGGGCCACAGCAACCACTTACCATCAGGTGGACTGTGTGCTCGTTTGTCACTCGATCCTATAAAAAAAAAAAAAAGTAAGTGCATACGTATGTATGTGATTACTCTAAAAATTTTAAGGTTAAATATCTATCAAAATATTCTCAAAGAGTATAATCACTACGTTTTCTATTGACAATAATCAATATTTGTCCGTAACGATTTCATTTCATGTAACTTTTTTCTTTTTCATCATCAGTTCCTTACTAATTAGGGAGGATTGCGTTAATCGTCCATCCACCTGTCAAGAGTGGTATCACAAATATATAAATGAACAATAGAGGTTATATTATTATACGTAAAGAATACTATCACACAACGATTTAATTATAAATTCCAAAAATTATAGTTATTATACGAAAATAATATATCCGATATACCTACACTTTGAGTCTGTAGCACGGGTCTGTAGTATATTTTAAAACGTAATGATTATATACTCTTTGGTACTTAAATATGTCTCAATATGTATGTTAAGATTAGTAATCTATATGAACGTCACCACAGAGTACTTTTTATAAAAACGTCACCTGACATTGTCATGGCTCATGGCGGTTTAGTGTTTTTCAGAGGATTGTAAACAATTTTTTTACAAAATCTTTTGTATTAATTAGTTTGTTTATTAAAAAAAAAAAGGCAAACAAAACATGGCCAAAAAGGATAAAAAGAAAAGAGTGAGTTAGACATTCATTTAAAACTAAGTAACTAGACTAAACAAACAGCTATTTATATTATCATCATGATCATCATCATATTACAGACCTTCACAAGTCAACTGCTGAACATAGGCCTCCCCCAAGAAATGCCACAAAACACGGTCCTGAGCCACCTGCATCCATCGACTTCCTGCATGTTTTACCAGGTCGTCACTCTATCTAGTGGAGGGACGCGCTACACTTCGTCCGCCGGTACGAGGTCGCCACTCAAGAACCTTTTTTCCCCATCGGTTGTCGGTTCTTCGAGCTATATGGCCGGCCCATTGCCACTTCAGCTTACTAATCCGTTGGGCTATATTGGTCTTAACTTAACTTAACTTCATTTCTAAGTTTATCACGCAGAGAAACGAGGAGCATAACCCTCTCCATAGCTCGTTGAGCAACCTTGAGCTTCCTCATCCAGCCAGCAGTGAAGGACCACGTCTCAGTTCCATTGGTCATCACTGGCAACACGCACTGGTTGTACAGTCTCGTTTCCAAGTATCGAAGTATACCTGACGAGAAGATGTGCCGTAATTTTCCGAACGCTGCCCAACCGAGTTGAATCCGTCGATTGACCTCTCGGTCGAAGTTGGACTTACCTCGTCGGACTATTTTTTTTTTTTTACATGGGGAAATGCCTACGCATACCCGCCTCGCGGGGGCAAGGACGGGTTATGTCGGACTCGCACCGACTAAAACCCCATGGTGTTCCACACTCGTCGCATATTGGCAGGGCCACGGGAACGCTTTCGCACACTTCCGCGGCCCCACCTGCGCTGGCCCCATGGCGGCCCCTCCTCGGGAGAGGAACACTCCTCCCCCATCTCCTTCTCAGGTAAGGCGCACCAGAACACATGGTGCGCCCTCCTCCTCGGCCTCCAATTTCTAATGCGCAACGGACGCCCCCGCGTCCGATGCGCGAAGGCCATGGGGCCAGGAAAAACTAGTACTCAGAAGCACCAGCCTTCCTGACCCCAGCGGCGGATCTGGTCCATGGCTCCGCCGCCAACCAAGATTCGGCTGCGGAGGGTAGGGAGAGCGGCGCCTCGCAATACCGACACTCCTCTCCCCCCGCAGCCCCACCACCACCGCATCATTTAACGGTGCGGCCCCGTCTGAGTCGCGGAGGATAGGGCGAGTGGCGCATCGCCATACCAGCACGCCTCCTCCTCCGCGACTCCACCTCGGCTGCAGCGATAGAGGGAGCGGACACCCCTCTCGCAGCATCCCACCGACACACATCCGAAGTGGGCTTCCCAAGCCCACTCGGAGTGGCCACCTCGGGCCGGCCCTACACCATGGGCCAGCCAAGGGGTTCCTCTTTGTTCACCGTGGTTGACCAAGCCACGGCTACTAAGCCCCCCCGCCACGACAAGGCGGGAACCCGTTCGGGGGGGGTCGGACTATTTGCCCCAAGTAAACATACTCGTCAACAACTTCGAGTTTAGTAAATGTATAATGTAAATGCATAATTATTAATTACCCGTCCGCTTCACTCGGCATTGGTTACTGTTAAACTTTAATACCCTATGTACGACATAATCGACTGCTATTCCAAAGACAATCATTTAAACAAACATTTGCCCATGGATGTAAAACGGAAAATCTATAGTCGGTAAAGGTGTTCAGCCTGGGAAGCAGCCAATGCTCCATGTGATAGTACGGAGCTCGTTTTATATATAAACGAGATTTATGAGAACCTATGTTCTGACTCATCACGATATCTCTGGAACCATAAGGCTTGAAATTTGGTAGGAATATTTCTAGTAGAGGTCAGCTAAGAACGGATTTTACGAAATTCCACCCGCAAGGGTTAATGTGATTTTTTTTACTTAACGGTCAGCCACCGTAGAGTCTACATCACCTGAGGATGCCTCGTGTAGAGGCGAAACATTATTGTAGTATTATTAGTAAGTATTGTCGTTAGTGGTGTGTCTTGCCTAGTGTAATGGTGTTGGGAGTAGCGGTACTGGGATTAGTGGTGACGGGGATAGTGCACGCAATTGAGGGAGGGCGGGAGGTGCTCTTCATACTAGGTAAGACACATCATTTTATTTTATAGCGCGGATTTTGCAAAGTAAATTTTTTAAATGATTTTTTTTAATTAACGCCCCCGTAACGCCCCTTGTTTTATCTGTATATACTGAGCGAGTCCGCCTGCCAAATGTGGCAAATACGGAAACTACTATAAAATATTCTCGTGTTTACTTAACATACAAAAAAAATACATTTGAATGTGATATCACGTCACATTTCCCATCACATCACATCTCGATCTTATCATATACACACAATCATACATTGCTCGTTGTGTAAATGAATAGGATATATTATATTGATAAGTACGACTGATAATGTAACGTGGACGCAATATGTGGTGTGATGTAACGAAGCCGGATATGATCACATTGTTATATCACGATCATAGTTATATTTAGAGCCAAGTTGCAGCTATATTATTCTTAAAGCACGATTGGGTTAGCTCGTTACCTGGAAAGGACTACGCTCACACATAATGCCAGTTAAAATAACACCTTAATGCTGCTGTGTTTCGTTTGGTGAGGGTAGACTATCGGAAACCCTTTCTAATTGGATATGAGGCATTCCATCTTAGTCCTGGGCAACGCATCTGCATTTAGATTCATAATCGTAAATAGATTTCGATGTCTATGGGCCACAGCTTTTACTTACTATCAGGTGGAATGTGTGCTCGTTTTGCTGCCCTTATTCTATAAAAAAATATTACGCATACCTATGTTTAGGCAGAGGACTGTCTACGAACAAACGAGACGGAGCTAGCTTTAGAAGAATTATGAATCAATTTTGATATTTCTTATTTTCAGAATGAAAGGCAGGAACCACCAGGTAATTATTGTCATCTTCTATTCATTCATCAAAGGTCGGCAATTTGCATCCTACGTGTCTGTTTGGATCTCGTGCTTGACGTCAAAACCTTGATTCGTTATAACAAACTACGAGTTTAACCAAGTTATTCAGGTCTAGTGAAACGGCTTACTTTGATCGAAGGTAGGCGCAATACAGTGTTAAAGATAAAAACGAGAATAATTACCAACCAATACCAACTTCACCTGTCCACTACTGAACATTGGCATAGGAACGCTGACTTCCTGCATCTCTTACCAGGTCATCATTCCATTCCATCTCTAAGAGGGTCACCATACACTTCGCTTATCGGTACTAGGCTGCCACTAGAGAACCCTTTTCACTACCAGATGTCGGTTCTTCATAACCATCCCATTTCCATCCCATTGCTACTTCAGTATACTGATCCGTTGAGCTATATCGGTTACTCTGGTTTTGCTGCAGATATTTTCATTACGAAATCAAAATGACACATAGAAACACCGGGCGTAGTCTTTTTCACAACTCACTGAGTAACTGTAGTTACTTGCATCTTAAATAATTCCGTGGAAACTGCTTCTTTTCTCTCTGCTTGGAAAGATTTTTTTTAAATTAAATTAAATTAAGCCAACGTGATTCCTCTTCCTAAAAAGATCAATCCAAAATGTTTTTCTGATTACCGGCCAATTTTTTACTTCATTTCCTACCTAAAGTGTTAGAACGTCTGGTATTCAAGCAACTAAGTTATTATCTACGAGAATATAACCTCCTTGATCCCTTGCAATCCGGTTTCAATAAGTAATAATGAACTGGCATAGTACAACTACAGCACTTTTACAAATTACTCATGACATTCGTTATGGTATGGAGAGTAAAAAATTGATAATACTAACTTTTTTAGATTTTAGCAATGCGTTTAATACAGTCGATTTTGATATCTGTAGGCTGTAGTTAACTGGATTCGTAGTTACTTGTTTGGGCGCTGACAGCGTATTCAAGTACAGGACGTGTATTCCTTTTGAACTGCTGCTGTCACCGGCATCAAACAAGGTTGTGTGTTGTCCCCACTCTTGTTTGCAATTTTATAAATTGTAGTAATCAACTGTCTTCTTCTAATCACTTGTACGCCGACAATCTCCAAATTTACACTCAATCTACTCTGGATTTACCGAAAGCTATTGACACAACGAACGCTGATCTGGCTTGTATTTTCATCATCATCATCATCATTACAGTCTTTCACAAGTCCACTGCTGAACATAGGCCTCCCCCAAGGAATGCCACAAAGCACGGTCCTGAGCCACCTACATCCATCGACTTCCTGCATGTCTTACCAGGTCGTCACTCCATCTCGTGGGGGGTCGCCCTACACTTCGCCTACCAGTACGACGCTGCCACTCGAGAACCTTTCTTCCCCATCGGTGGTCGGTTCTTCAAGCTATATGGCCGGCCTACTGCTACTTCAGCTTACTAATCCGTTGGACTATGTCGGTTACTCTGGTTCTACTGCGGATATACTCATTTCTAAGTTTATCACGCAGAGAAACCCCAAGCATAGCCCTCTCCATAGCTCGCTGAGCTTCCTCATACGGCCAGCAGTGAAGGACCACGTCTCAGATCCGTAAGTCATCACTGGCAACACGCACTGGTTGTACAATTTCGTTTTATGGTTTTGAGGTATGCCTAATGAAAAGATGTGTCGTAGTTTCCCGAACGCTGATCAGCCGAGTTGAATCCGTCGATTGACCTCTCGGTCGAAGTTGGACTTACGTAGTCGGACTATTTGTCCCAGGTAAAGATACTCGTCAATAATTTCGAGCTTAGTGCTCCCAACAACTACCGGCATAGGTGTGACATGGACTTTAAACATGATTTTTGTTTTGTCCGTGTTCATCTTAAGACCTATCCGTTGGGAGACACTATTGAGGTCATTGAGCATAATACTTAGTTCCTCCAGCGATTCTCCCATAAGGACTATATCGTTGGCAAATCGAAGGTGAGTGATGTACTCGCCATTGATGTTAATACCGCATCCTTTCCAGTCCAGCAGCTTGAAAACGTCTTCCAATGCAGCGGTGAAGAGTTTCGGGGATATAACGTCACCCTGTATTACACCTCTCTGCAGCTGGATAGGTTTCGTACTCTGATTCTGTACTCGGATAGCCATCGTAGCTCAGCTGTACAAACACTTCAGCACTTCGATATACCGACAGTCAACTTGGCACCGCTGAAGGGACTGCAGGACCGCCCAAATTTCGACGGAATCAAAGGCTTTCTCATAGTCCACATACGTAAGGCAAAGTGGCAGATTGTACTCGTCTGTCTTCTGTACAATTTGCCGAAGGGTGTGTATGTGGTCTATGGTGCTAAAGCCTTTTCGGAAACCGGCTTTTTCGGGAGGCTGGATGTTGTCAAGTCTGCGTGCGAGACGATTCGTAATGACTCTCGAAAACAGCACGTAGACGCGGCTCAGAAGGGAAATCGGTATGTAGTTCTTCAAGAGAGCGTTGTCGCCTTTCTTGAAGAACAAGACCACCGCGTTTCTGCTCCATGCCTCCGGATTAGTGCCATCATGGATGACGGAATTAAAGAGCTTCTGAAGGACTTCAAGTACCGGTTTTCCACCCGCTTTCAAAAGCTCCGCTGTAATTCCATCCTCGCCCGGGGACTTTCCGTTTTAAGGTGCTGGAGAGCCATTCTAATCTTGCTCAGACTGACGTCCGGGATATCTTCTGAATAGTGTCTGATTAGACTCGCTCTTGGATCGTTACTCACACTTGTGCATGTAGCTCCAACGATGACGTGTACAGCTGCCCATAGAAACTCTCAATCTCACTCAAAATATCAGGTGTCCCGGAAACGATGCTGCCACACTTGGTCTTCAGCTTTGACAGTTGGCTCTTTCTAGCAGAGAGATCCCTGGCAAAGACTTTGGAGCCTTAGTTCCGCTCGATCGCTTCTTCAATACAAGCTGTATTGAAGTTGCGTAAGTCCCGCCTCATACATTTGGAGATCTCTCTGTTCAGTTGCCTGTATGCTGTCAAATCTGTTGAAGAATGTAGCTTCATGTCCCGTCGAACAGCCATGAGATCAAGAGTGTAATCGGAGAGTTTTTGTGTCCTTCTGCGGCCGGTCTTGCAGAACTTAGCTCCGACCGAATGGACAGTTTCCACGAGCTTGTCATTCATATCGTCCACTTCATTGCAGTCTTCTAGGCACTGAAAACGGTTTTGTAACTCGAGCTGAAAGGTTTCGGGACTTTGGAACAGAGCACGAGGGGGACGGAGCGTTGATTTCATTAGACGAGACCTCTCCAATTTAACGTTTAGGTTGTGTTTTCACCCTCGCGATCACGGAGACATCACTGAACAGTTGTCGTCTGGTCGTCATAATGAAGTCAGTCTCATTTTTTGTCGAACCGTCGGGGCTCAACCAGGTCCACTTCCTGTGGGGCTGCTTCTTGTATTTTGGGCTGGTGTAAATCTTATGGATTATCATTAATCCCACTAAAACTCAAGCAATAATTATCGGTCGTTCGAGATTAGTTGCTAGAGTTGGTTTTTCTCTCATACCACCTATTCTTTCACAATGACATTCACATCCTATCCTTTTTTTTGAACATTGTTTAGATGCTTAACTCACTGTTCTTACTTACACATTTATTAATTATATAAAATAAAACATTTGTTATTATTCTTTGTTACATCTCAATCTATTGCTTACATTTCTATTAAGCGACAACACTCACCGATGCACAGACCAACGGACGGCAGTCCATATTATATTTATTCAATTACATTTTTGTCATGTAATCTAAAGTAAATCAATTAGCAAATAAACTAATCTTATAATCTTATCCCTTATAGTGATAAAGTTAAGAATTTAGGAATATATATCGACTCCGGTCAAACATGGTCACCACAAATTAATGAAGTCAGTAGGAAAATGTTTGCAGCGCTAAGCTCTCTTCGGACCCTACTGCCACTAAAGTTGCACTTGCTCAATCCCTACTGTTGCCTATTCTTGACTATGCTGATGTTTACTACCTGGACGTTACCGAAGCGCAGTTAAATAAACATGAGCGTATTCAAAATTTATGCTTACGATTCATATTTGGACTCCGTAAATATGATCACATTTCAGAATTTCGTAAACGTCTGTCTACCGATTTGTCTTCGCAGGAATACTCACATCCTTTCTACTTTATACAACATACTGTTCAATCCATCCACTCCACGTTACCAGAAAGACCAGTTTGAATTCGTTTCATTCTCTCACGATCGTCATCTACGTTCCACTAACAATTTTTTGCTTCGTATTCCAGCACATTCATCCTCCTTCTTCAATAAATCTTTTTCGGTTACAGCTGTGCCCTTGTGGAACTCCTTGCTTTTATATATTTGACGTGCTCAGTTCCTTTTTTCCTTCAAAAATCTACTCAAAACTTTTTACTTTGAACTCTAATATTTCCCATCATAATTTCCGTCCTTAATTGTATCTATCCTACCTATACTCAACCGTCATCATCTTGTGTATATTTATATACTTATATTTTTTTAACTTGATTGTCAAATTTATGTACACCTTCGCTTTAACAACAGCAACTTGCAATTCGCTGTAACAACAGCTCTTTGCTGAATAAATGTTGTCTGGAAGAAATCGGAGATCTTCCAGAGCGATAAGACCGCCTATTGTACCCTTTATATATTTATTGCATTTTGTCTCGTTTTAACTCCTAACCTTCAGCTTCCTCATACCTCCATTCCATCTTTTCTAGTTTATCAACAGACATATCTAGGTGAACTTCTTTTCTATAGGAGACCGTCTATATTATAAGTCTGTGCTTGACTTGACTTTTTAGTATTATAAGTCTGTGCTTGACTACTTACCCACCTGATGGTAAGTGGTGATGCAGTCAGAGATGGTAAAGCGCACTGACTTAGCATAAACAGAGGCTATTCAATCTTGCCTCTCTTTCTTTTGGGTTTATTGTAGGCCCATAGCCTATAAGTGACTAATTATAAACCTTTACAACATTTGCCATAATGTTAAAAAGTATCTATATTTTTTTTTTAAACTTCGTTAGGCATAAAATTGTACAAAAGTGGACTTAACGCCTTAAGGTATTATCGACTAGTGAAAATTTGTAAGTTAGCAGAAAACACTTTGGAAGTGCAACAAATTTTGTAAAAGAAAGAATCATCACCAATAAACTAGGAGTATATGAAAATTAACTAAATAAAAATTTTATTTCAAGCTTTTCCTTTTTGTTTTTTTTTAAACTAAATAGTAACTTTTTTATTTTGTGGAAACTTTTAACATGCCATTTGTACAAGAAAAAACACCTAGACCCAGAAATATTCTTTGTAAACCATACAAGCAATTATTCCATGCGGGAATCGAACCTACGATCCGCAGCGCTACAGCCAAAAATCCTATCCACTTCGCCAATATATTATTATATTTAACGGTAGTATTGGCGCACTATTTTTTCTACGACAGAGTCGGATGTGCTGGAAGAGACGCTGGTGGCTACAACCGACCTTGAACAACCGCCTGAAGAGGTCCAGTACACGGATACGTCCTACACCAGCGCCTCTTTTGAATCCCTTCCTCCTGTTGAAGGTATTTCAGTGATTTTATCTTATTTAATATTTCTTTATTACTTTTAAAATTACCTACAAGTATTTTTAATGTTCCATTAGAACCGCTTTAAAGAAGTAAGGGTGTCAAACGAGCACACAGTCCACATGCTAGTAATAGCTAGATGCTGTAGCCCATAGAAATCAACGTCTTTCTTCAATTAAGAATCAAAATGCAGAGGCGTTGTCGCCCTTGAAACACAGCTTGAGATATTAGATATAATAAAAGAAGACTTCAAAGAATTAAAAAAAAATTGAAGTCCACTTTGACTTTTAATTAAATATTTAATATTTTGACAATTTTGAATGGACACAAAATAACAACTAGAATGTAGTCAAAATGGTTAAGTTAAAAACTACATCCCCTATATTCCACCTTTAGGGATGGACTTTTTCTCCAAATTTTATTGAATTCTGCTGTCGTTGAAATTCAACTTATTTCATAAAAAGCAATCAATAAAATCTATTCACAATGAACGAAGATATCGCATGACATACAAAAAAAAACATATAATCAAATCGAGAACCACCTCTTTTTTTAAAGTAGTCTAAAAAGATACTGAAGTTCACGTCACTCAACATATGCAACACATCTATATTATAGTTGTTTTTCATTATTATCTCAGATCGAGTCTTCCCATTATCCCCCACACCAGCGTAAAATAGCAACTTAAAGCTGCTATGCTTCGTGTGTAGAGAACTTGAGTGTAGAGAACCGGAGAACCTTTTTATTGGAAATGAGACATTACATCGCAGTTATAGAGTCGTAGATTCTTAATCGAAAATAAATGTAGATGTTAATCTGATGTCTATGTCCAAAAGCGTCCACTTACCATCAAGAACAAGTACTGTGCGCTTGTTTGTCACCCCATTCTATAACATAAGCCATAGTACGCTGCGTGGTAGTTTTTATAGTACGCTAGCAATAATAATTATCAATATACGCACGAAGTTAAGTTAATTAAAAAAAGGCGGTAGTACTCTTTTTGTGTCTCTAAGTTCATCTACGTAAATACCATTCCACATTATCCAATTTTACCAGTAAGCAGAAGTCCAAATCTTCTGATAGTTTCCTGTTCCAGCTCAGAAGAATATTAGCGTGTTTTTGTCAGTTCAGAACTTTAAACAACGGTAGGCGTTTAGGTTCATCAAATTTTACTATCGATACACCCCATAAAAAATCCACTGCTGAACAAAGATCACCCCATATGTCGCTTCATAGGGGGGATCCCTATGAGACAATCTATGGGGATAACCATTTGCCAGTCTTGGAAGGCGGGTTTGCAACCGCAGTTATTTATTTTATTTGTAACTAGCTGTTCTCCGCGACTTCGTTCGCGTGTTAGGGTTTTTATGTTTTCGCGCGGAACCCTAATACTTTTTCTAAAATAAAAGTAGCCTAAGTTACTCCTTATAAAATCAGCTATCTGCCAGTGAAAGTCCCGTCAAAATCGGTCCAGCTTTTTGGAGATTAGCCGGAACAAACAGACAGACAGACAAAAATTTTAAAAATTGTATTTTAGTTATAAGTACCGTATTTACTTTCATATGCGTTTATTAAAAAAAAACTGTAATTTTGACATTACAAACAGACATTTTATTTATTTTTATAGATTAAAAAGATGCTGCCGCCCATCTCCTAATTTGCTTCCCTCTGTCACCTCATACGACATCTACAGGACGATTTGGAGTAACTATTCTTACAGCGCTACGGTTGAATCAATCAAACCCTTTAAAAAATCAAGTATAATATATACATGCTGTGAACACTTAAAGAAATCACAAAAAGTTAATTAATTCTAGCAAACAAACTCGCCTATCAACAACGCAGTTTGATCAATATTTTCGTTGTAGCAACAAACAATGGCGCTTCTAATCATATGCAAAAAAGTATAGTTAACATACGTGAAATTTAAATAACTTAGCTTTACCATGTAGAATAATACGTTGTTACTTTTAAGTTTTTTAGAAAATTTTTAGAGACTGTACTTAATTGTCTTTAGACGTAGTAGGTATTTAGAGAAAGTTCCAGCTCTTCCAAAACGCCAGCCTAAAATTTGAACATGAGTCTTCATATGGTGAGTTACAAAAGCCATGATTTGCTTCTTAGGCTGTCGGTGACAAATCTAATAACTTAAGATTCCTGTCTTAATAAGATTAAACAATGATTTTCGAGGGTAAGCCAAACGAAGCCAGAGTTCTATACGTCACCCGTGGAAGCTTTTTATTGGAAACGAGGTATTCCATCTTAGTTCTCAGGACTGACAACGCATCTGCATTTTTATTTTTAATCGATTATAAATATAGATGTCTATGAGCCACGGCATCCACTTTCCATCAGGTGAACTGTGTGCTCCTTTCTTACCCCATTCAAAAAAAGAGCTCCTTCAACTGGTGACGATGCTATGTTTTCCATCATCAAGTGTGCTATCTCACCTTAATTTCGATACTTCGACAAGACAAAATTCAGGGCCAGATTAGGCTAATCCGTAACTGGCTAAATTCGTATTCTATTATCAGTGTGGCCACTAACCCTTCAACGAACTACATGCTCGTTTTTAATTCTTCCCTACAATAAAAGACTACGTTAAAATGGTCATTTTGTCTTAAAATATTAAGGTAATAATAAAATTGAGAATGAGCTTCAAAAGTTAGTATTTATATAAGTAAATATTCGAACTTATTGTATACGCCCTTATGGATTTAAAAAGTGATTGACTACCTCACGTTATTATCAGACTGTTAAAAGACCTACTAACGGTCTTCATAGTCGATTTTCGCGATACCGTGATACTCCGATTTATTTGTGGTTAAACCACGCTGGAGCTGTATTATGGTTGCAACACGACAGGTAGCTCGCCGTAGACGATTGAAGACAGAATACCAGCGTAAAATAACATCTTAATGCTGCTGTGTTTCGTATGGTGAGTGTAAAGAACTGAAGATCCTTTTTGCTGGTAACAAGGCATTCTATGTTAGTGTTTTGGGGGTGACAACGCAGTACATGTTGGTATTTAATCGATGATGTGAGTGTATTTAGAGGTTGATTCTCTCACCGCTATTAAATAATAAAGCTGTCACAGCTAATAACGCAATATGAATTTTATGAATATAGCTTTTGGATAATCACTTCTGATCTTATATATCTTTAATTAATACTATTCTTAAAAAAAATTGTATAAGAATTGTCGTCTTAGTCGTAAACGTTACAAGGAAGAAGAAATGAATTGTTTATTTTCTTGTTTATATTTACAGAAATAAAGCCAAAGAAGAGGAAAGGAAAGAGGAAGCCAGAGGTATGAAAAAACTAATGAATTTTTAATAGTCTTAAAAAATATCTAAAATAAATATGATGCTTGCTATCTAAAATGAAGATGGGGCAGGGCTGCTTTTGTATGCTATTAATATTTTAAGGAGATGTTAGTTATTAATAAGCTGTTATGATTGTCGTGATGGATATAAGAGATGCTGAAAAAAAAAAGAACATAAAAAAACATGATGTGTGCAGTTCACACGCGGTAGAAGTGAAATCTTCTAATGCGTAATTCAAACTACTGTCGAAACACTCTTCTTTCGTGGCTTGCTCGTACATATAATGAACAATTTGGACATATTGACAGTTTTTTAACAACACATTGAGTGAGAACGTCACAAAGTTGCAAAAAAAAACGGTGTCTTGACATTCTCATTTTTTTATTTTAAAGGAAATAATGCAAAACTAACAAAAAAAACATAATCTGCCGATTTTCACAAGCCGGAATACTAAAAATCGTCTATGAAGATGAGAGCGTGCAGCTGGAGTAAAGCATGTAATACTCCGCGCTTCTCTCTCCCTTTCACTTTTTCCCTATCTCTGACTCTCTCACCCATTCACAGTCACATTTTACGATTTTTGAAAAAAGTCGTAAAAAAGTCATAAAAAGAATTATTTCTGGCAGTCAGATTATTAATATCCCCCAAAATAATCGTCAGATTTTAAGCTAGCATAACTAGGGCCTCAAGCTGAACCTTCTATATAATGATCAGATATCTCTTACCTGGTCGGCACTCCATCTAGTGGGGGGACGCCCTACATTTCGTCCGCCGGTACGAGGCAGCCACTCGAGAACCTTTTTTCCCTTTCCTTACTTAAAACTAAATTAAATATTTTTCTTTCGATTCCTCAGTTTAAGGATCTCAAAGTAAGTTCCCAATGTACTGTGACAAGGACTTTTAATTCGTAATGTTTCGTTGTACTGCAGGTTGTAGAAGTAACGAAAAAAACCACATCGCTATTCTTCGACTGGTCCGAAGATACAGTAATAGGTTAATATTATACTCAATTCTTTGTGACTTTAAAACAAGAAAAATGTAGTCAATTTGCTCGTGCAGCCATGATAATATGTAACTATATTTTCAATTTAGAGGAACAAAATGTAGTGCAAGAGGAAACAAAAGTAAAGAAAAGGAAAAAGGGCAAAAAAGGGAAAAAAGAGAAGAAGAAAGAGGACATACCAGAATTCGAAAAGGTAAATAAAATAAAATGCAATATCATGTAATGACAGTGTAAAATAATACACCAACTTTTTCGTCCCCAGGGATGTCGTAAGTGGCGATTATGCAATACGGCAGAATTGTATTCCTCCAGCACGGCTAGCATGGGTTGGGGACAAAACATTTATCCCCCGATTATATCCACTGACAAGAGATAAAATTATGTTGTCCCTATGCCGAAGCACGGCAACGGGGAGAAGTATATCCCCTTTTGACATAACGAATAGACATATATCCCCCGTCTGTAGCATGGAGCCAAATGATAGATAAAAAATTATGCTTTTTTGACATTTGAAAGGGACAATTGTATCCTAGTTCATTGGACGCGGGCTTAATTTTATATTCATACAAAAAATCTATCTAAGTCTATCTTCCATTTTATCTACTGTGGATATTATATCCACCGGTGTACCCATGCTCAAAGGGTGGATAAAACTAAGCGAGGGGATAAACATTTTCTCCTTTCCCCGGGGATAAAATTGTCTCCTGCCCATGCTAGCTCTGCAGGATGAATTTATGCCACGGCGACCCGTTTTAACGAAGACTAGCCATCTGCTGAATATAAGACTATAGTGCCCAATTGTATTCGCAAGCACTTTCCTTGCGTTCCGAGAGGTGTTACACAGGAGTGTAACACCGCCAACTTCCTGACTCCACGCTGCTACTGATATATAGGATTTTTATATAGGATTCGAACCCGGGATCTGTAGATCATTAGTCGCGTTTACGAAGAATAGATCATAGAGGCAGTCCGCATATATATTACCAAGTGAATGAATCATAAAAATCTGTCTTATAGTTTCTGAACAATCACGCATATAAAAGCGTGCAGGGGTAGCACAGAACCTTCCTTTTTTGTAGGTTAGGTAGTTAAAAATCGGTTAAACTGAACAATGGCACGAAAAGAGTACGTCACAACAGTGTGTACACTGACAAAAAATATGAAAATTTCAACGTATATGATATCAGTTTTCCATCCGACCCACGTTCAATAAAGCACAACGGCACGAAACCATAAATTTACCATTTCATTGACTAACAAATCTATAAAAAGAACTCAAAGTGTTCAATGCATCCCCTTTCCAAACTGTACTTCATTGTTCGACACCGTGTAGTGCACACAAAGCGAAAGCTCTACCAAAAATATAGTGATTTCAAAACACTGCGGTATATCATGACTTGATAACTCTTAAGGCTTTTATCGTTAAATATTTTGAAAAATTTTCTATGGTAATATTCCGTTTAAAAAAAGAAATTAATTTTGAAAGCCAAGATTTTGAGTAGAAATAGAAATTAAGACTTTTCAAGAGTAAAGTGTGTTATCACCGCTTTAGTAATATGGAGGCGAAGGATGATATTATCTAAAAGATATAATAGATCGTCTCAATGAAATCTTAAAAACATTAAAATCCAATCGTTATCCAGTCAATCATTTAAAAAAAAAACGTAACAGCCTAAGAATTGGAAGAAGATGAACAGAAAGGAAAGAGAGGCCTGGCTTCTTCAGCGAATAGAAGAGTGGAGATTGGAGAAAGAAGCTGAAAAGTTAGTTTTATCGTTCGTTAGTACTTTAGTTAATTGATGATATATTTTATAAGAGAAGTCTTAAATAGAAACACATACATCTTCCTATGTAATTAGTTACATCATTCGTTATCCACTAGAATTAAATGTTGTATAAAATAAGTAAAACTAATTGATATATTTGTATTTAGATCTAAACAATTGATTATTGTTGAAATTAGTAATTCGCTATATGCTTCTGTGTAATATTTAATGCAATTTTTTGATATAGTGACGGTGAAATATTTTAAAAGCCGAAGATTTTTAGACTAGCTCATCTATTTTTAATCTAAAGGTGAAAGCGTGAGGGTAGGTCGCAATATTCAAATTTTTTTACGTTTTTCAATTTGCAGGTCAGTGTCAAGTTGTAGGCTTAACAAAAAATGATTCACGACCGTAACGAGTATGTATTTACAGAATTATAATCATTATAATCATCAATAAAACCCTTTAAGTTCGTATAATCCCATTGTATATCTATTTCCAGAAAAACTCATTCAAAGAGATTATATGTATGAACTTAGAGGGTTTTATTGGTGATTTTAATGATAATGATTCTGTAAACAAATACTCGTTACGGTATCGAATGTTATTTTGTTAAATATACAACCTAACCCTGACCTGCAAATTCCAAAAAACGTAAGAAAATTTGCCACCCGGCCGTTTTGACCTTAAGTAAATCACACCGTTTGTATGATTATTTACGGATGAGTTGTATTAAATTGCTCAAATATTTTGCGTTTTAGCTATTTCATATTTATTTATTTAAACTTCGTTGTCATCTGAAAATCTTTTATATTTTAAATAAATAGATTTACTTGGTCATCACATGAAAACACAATGTATCTCTCAAGTAATACATATTATATTCAATTAGATTTTTTTACTGCGATTGCCCAGTCAATTTATTTATTTAAAATATAAAACATTTTTAGTATTGATGTGGTTACTCTAAGATGTTGTTAGGTTAGCTAATTACGTAATAACTTAAGACAGAAGGACCCTTAAGTAGGGACTGAATAAATTAACCGACTTGGTAGTACATGGATCTCACAACTTTTTACGGTAGAAGATCTGAAATGCGAGACTTGGTTTAATTTTATAAGTTATGTTTTTGATCGCATCACCTTTATAAATAAGATAACAAAGACCTACAGTTTTTGCTTTTTTATAGAATAAGAGTGACAAACGAGCGCGCAGACCTTCTGATGGTAAGTTGACATTTATCCTCGATTAAAAATCAAAATGCTGACGCGTTGTCACCTATGAGGACTAAGATGGAATGCCTCGTTTCCAGTAAAAAGAGTCTTCGGTTTTTTACACTCACCATACGAAACACGGAAGCACTAAACTGTTATTTTACGTTGGTATACTGTGAAAGCGCGGTTCTTTCCTGGTCGAGCCGACCCATTTGTGCTGCTACATTCACAATGTAGCTTTCAAAAGACATAAGTTTCATTCCTCTGGTTAAACAAAATTATTTTGCAACAACCGGCCAAAGGTTCAGAATAAGTAATATAGGAAAATGGTGAAGAAAAATTAATTAAAATAATCGCAAACATTCTGTTCTTTTTTATGTTTTAAATTAAAAATACGTGCTAATGCATTATTTTATCTGATTTTACAGCGCACGCACACATTCATAAGGGTCGATCGATAGGCAAAAACGTTGTGGCTACTTTTATTTGAAATTATTGCAAATCACATTAAATTTGGAATAATTTCAAACAAAAGTAGAATTTACCCGCATTTTCATAAACTGCAATAACGATAATAAAAAAAATCCTTGTATAATAAGAGTTAAGAGTTGCCAGTGATTATACAAATGGATCCGAGACGTGGTCCTTCACTGTTGGCCGTATGAGGAAGCTCAAGGCCTGTGCTTTGTGTTATTCCTAGGGACAGGCCAATGTTCAGCAGTGGGCTTGTGAACCAAAAATTTTAATCTATTTTCTGGATTTTACAGACAAGCAATCCTCGCTGGCGCTAAGGAGAAGCGGATAGCTGAAGCGAAGGCAAGGGCAGACCTGATGGCTAAAGACGAAGATGAGCAAGAGATCAGGAAAGACTTATTAGCGAAAACTGTAGCGCTGTTTCACAGTTAGTTCAATGTTTCTAAAACTTTGCTAAGCACATTCCCTAATTCAAATTTTGAAATAGCAAGTTGGTAGGCTTTACAAGCTGCGCTGAAAGAATTTAACGTAAATGTTTTAGACGTCGATCTAGTGTAAAGAGTTTTATCAAACCCCAAATCAGGGATGTCAAGAGAGTTAATTCGGTTCGCTACTAGGACGTAATATACCTTCATATCTTCAGTATAAAGGAAAGTTTTTCTTTTTTTAGTTCAGTAATTTAATTAGTAAAGAGAAAAAAGGATGATAGGCTTGTGACTAAACCAACCAAAAACAACAACATACTCGTAGGTCTTTTCAGATTTTTTTAATAAAACGTAAGTGATAAACATATTCACAGTCCTTCCGATGGTAAGCGTCTACTGCAGTCCATGGAGACCTATCCGAATTCAAGTAATGTGCTGAGGCTATATATGCATTTTCAGCAGAGCGGTTCGAATCGTCGACGACCGAGTTCTTTCTGATCGGCTCGATACACTGGCGCTACGTAAGGATATTGCATTCCTTTGCTTTTTCTATCGAATTTACCACGGGGAGTGCTCTGAGGAATTGCTCAGAATAATTCCAGCCGCCAAATTTCACGAACGCATATCACCTCAATATTCACGATACCATCATCACCATCTGGATGCTTGGCGGTCCATAACTAGGAGTTTTACTAGGAGTTTTCTTCCACGTACAACTTCTCTGTGGAATTGTTTACCACCAGCGATTTTTCCGGACCGATACGACTTAGTGATCTTCAAGCAAAGAGCTTACACCTTTCTAAAAGGCCGGCAACGTACCTGCGATTCCCCTGGTGTTGCGGTTGTTCACGGGCGGCGGTAGTCACTTACCATCAGGTGAGCCGCATGCTCGTATGCACCCTCTCCTATAAAAAAAAACTTGGTCTCTATTCCCTTCAAACATTGCTATTTTACAGCATAAATGGGGACCACGCTTATATATCCTTATTGGTTTGAAATTGGTCGCATGTATCCATAAATTGCAGTAGCTACTTACCATCAGGTAGAATGTAAGTCCGTTTGTCACTTCATTTCTTTAAAGTTAGTCTGCCACGCTGTTCTAGTGCATGTTGGCGGTCTTCATAATATGTCATCACAATTTTTCCTTAATCAATAAAAACGTGGTAAAGTAAAATAAAGTTACAGCCTATATAGGTACGTCCCACTGCTGGGCACCAGCCTCCTCTCACTTCTGAGAGGTATTACGCTAATAATGTGGTAATTAAAAAAAGCAATAAATAAATACAATGGCACTGACGGTAACCCATCTCAGATTGCTCTCTAACTGGAAAATTTACTTCATCTACCACATCTGTGTTTATCCCCTTTGAATAATTTAATGTTAGTCACACTCTTGTGCTGACAGAGCTTCTTTCAATCCTCGAGACAATGGTATTTTTTTTTTATAGAATCAGGGTGACAAACGAGCACACAGTCTACCTGATGGTAAGTGGTTGCTGTGGCCCATAGACATCTATACATTTATCTTCGATTGCGAATTAAAATGCGGATGCGTTGTCAGCCGTGAGGACTAAGATGGAATGCCTCTCTTCCAAAAAAAGGGTCTCCGTTTGTCTACACTCACCATACGAACCACAGCAGCATTAAGCTGCTATTTTACGCTGGTATTCTGTGAGAGCGTAGTCCCTCCCCGGTCGGTGTAAATGTTTGAAATTGTATATAACGTTTTTTTTTTTTCATTTACTTGTTCTTAACTGTACACCTTAACTAAAAGGATAACAAAGAACTAGATTTAGGCTTTTCGATAAGTTTTCGATGAGCTAACTGTTAAAACTTGTAAACTGTTGTAAAATAGCAGCTTAACACTCCTGTGTTTCGTATGGTGAGTGTAGAGAACCGGAGACCCTTTTTACTGGACAAGAGGCATTCCATCTTAGTCCTCACGGGTGACAACGCATCTGCATTTTGAGTCTTTATTGAGGATATATGTAGATGTCTATGGGTCACAGTAACCACTTACCATCAGGTGGACTATGTGCTCGTTTGTCACCCGATTCTATAAAAAAAAAACTCTTTTTCCGTCTAGGTGTCGGTCTGGATTTGTACTACCCTCTTACATATTTCTGCTGCCAAATTCAATCAATTTGAAAAAAAAAACATTTACAAAAACTGAAATAACAAACAAACTAACACTCCACCTGGTGTTGGCTACTGTAGGCCATGTACACCTGCAGCTAACTTCAATCAAAGAAGGCTACTCGTACAGGTGCGACGTTACATCTAAAGACCAAGATTTAATGTCTTTCAGCCCGTATTTATACTCTGGAGATCGCAGACATGTGTATGAGAATGGTACTTGTGCAGATAGACTCCTAGGCAAAAAAAATATATTTCTACCTATTAATATCTATCTATTTAGATATCTATCACAGACGCGTGTAAATAATTTTATATACTTCCTTTGTTTTCAGGATTTGAAAAAGAGAAATTTAATTATCAAAAGAAAAAACAGCTTAAGGCCGAAGTAAGTGCTTGGAACTGCTATAACATTATCATCTGTGTATGAAATATGTACATACAACTACCATTAGGTCGATTACGAACGTATTACCCGTTTTCCTCTCTGCTCTCTCAAGATATTATTCATATTTTTTTATAGGATAGGGTGACAAACGAGCAGACAGCCCACCTGATAGTAAGTGGTGGCTGTGGCCCATACACATCTACATCTATCCTCAATAAAGAATCAAAATGCAGATGCATCTTTACCCGTGAGGACTAAGATGGAATGCCTCTTTTCCAGTAAAATGGGTCTCCGGTTCTCTACACTCACCATACGAAACGCAGCAGTGTCAAGCTGCCATTTTACCGCTGGCATTCTGTGAGGGCGTGGTCCTTCCCCGGTCGAGCCGACCCATTCGTGCTACAACTATACTACTAATATAGCTGCAACACGGCTCTACCACATACAAATCATCATAAATTCATTAATTACAGCCTAACAAAAGTTCACTGCTGAATGTAGAGGGAATATTTGCCATAGTTCTCTTAGCAAGTCGTTTGGCAACCGCAATATTCATTATTTTGAGTCGTTATCAGGAAGATACCGTTGCCTATCTCTTGTTTAATTTACCTACATCTTTTACGTTACTCACGGAATGGTATGGAGTCTTAAAGCTTCTAAGTAACGATATATATTATTTGGTAGAAGGTAGTGGATTATCTTACGCCGCCGCTACGCGGCATCATTAAGAGCCTGCCTTAACATCATGATTACGAAATATTTTTTACGTGGTACAGCCATGTTGCAGCTATATTAGTAGAATAGTTGTAGCACGAATGGGTCAGTTCGACCGGGGAAGGACCACGCTCTCACAGAATACCAACGTAAAATAGCAGCTTAACACTGTTGTGTTTCGTATGGTGATTGTAGAGAACCGGAGACCCTTTTTACTAGAAAAGAGGCATTACATCTTAGTCCTCATGGGTAACAACGCATCTGCATTTTGATTCTTTATAGAGCATAGATGTGGATGTCTATGGGTCACAGCAACCACTTATCATCAGGTGGACTGTGTGCTCGTTTGTCACCCTATCCTATAAAAAAAATATAGTCATATTTAACAAAGCTTTATCTGGTTAATGGTTTTCCGTTAAGCAAGTGGTAAATCTATATAAAAAAATCAATTGCCGCCTGTGTGAAAGACCATCACTTGAGAACGTCTGGACCGATTTTGATGCATACTCACATTGACAATTGGCACGGTAAGTAGCGCTGTTGTCGAGAGCTAGAAAACAGTCGTGCGAAACCGAGGAGGATCGTTAATCAGCGTATAAAATTGGGATTACAAATACGATCCAACTATGTACCGTGTTTCTGTCAAGACTTAGTATTTATACATCCCTAACTATTAGTTTTTAAAGTTTACGAGACGAATATTCCCAATTTAATATAATAATCATCACTTGATTTAGTAAACAATTTACTTGATATTTCAAATAATAAGTCTAGTTCCAGTTTCTTTGTATTTTTAGACATTAGGGTAATAAAAATAAATAACTAAACAAAAACGAGTATATTGATGTCAATTCTTGCTAACATTGCGAAGGAAATCACAATAGATTATAGACGTCATGTCTTGTAAAGTAACGTCACATATTATAGTACATGACCTCTATTTATTGTATATATAGAGGTCAGTGTGGTGCTACTACAATAGGTATGTCATTTTTCCAGTAAATCAGACCATACGAATGTACTTACTCTCATATTTGACATAGTATAAAAAGACCAACGATGATCACTTGACATTTCTATTTCCACTCATGAATTACACGCAACATCTTTCTATAGTTTTGTTTTGCCTTATTTGAAAATTAAATTACAAGTACAAGTACAACAAATATAACAAACAAGTATATCGACTCAATTTATGAACAATTGTAGGTTCTCTCTATGCATACGTATGTATGTAATTACTCTTTTTTTTTCGAATCTTAATTTGGTTAGTAGTCAAGGCCAGAAAAAACTAAATTAAAAACTATAACTCAATTATTTTTTTCAAACTTCACATTTGGCTGTAATTTGATTCGTATGCGAAATGGAGAAACTCGAACTTCGTGCGATAATTAAATATTTCTGCTTGAAAAATTTTTTACAAAAAGTGGTTTTTTGAAGAACTGCAGTCTAAATTGGCAGACAACGCTCCGTCTTATTCTACAGTGGCATACTGGTGCGCTGAATTTAAACGTAGCAGAACCACCTGCAATGATAACACTCGCTGCGGGCCAACAATGGCCGCTATGCAAGAAATGGTTAAAAAATCAAAAAGAAAAATTGTTAAGATAAACCGACGTGTCGCCATCCGTTATTTAGCTGAGACTCTAAAGCTTTTGTTTGGAACAATTCAGTTTATTTTAACTCATACCTTAAAATTCAAAAAGGTTTCCACCTGTTAGTTTCCTCGAATGTTAATAGTCGCCCAAAGGAAAGCAAAAGTTCACGTTTCAAAGTTAAATTTAGCAACAATTAAAGAAGATTCAGATTATTTTATGCGCTCGTTTCGTAACCGTACATGAAAGCCAAGAGATTCAAGGTGTCTGCGTCCGCTGGAAAAATAATGACCTCTGTCTTCTGGAATGCTGGAGGTGTAATAATAATCGATTATTTAAGTAAAGGAGAGACTAACCGGAGGTTATCACGCAACATTAATCAAAAAACTACGCGAAGAACTAAAGAATGAACGTCGATATAAATTGCGTGCTAAAGTGCTTTTTCGTAATGATAATACCCCTGCCTATCGATCTGATGTTGCAGGCGCGACCATATTCTCCGGACCCAGCTCCGAGTTATTTTCTCCTTTTTACTTTTTTTTTCAATATAGATCACATGTGTAATTCTTATTGAAACTCACCCCTGAAAATGCACTTGCGTGGTAAAAAATTCGACGGCGACAATGAGGTGACGTGTGTGGAATAAACCAAATTGCAAAATGCTATTCAAGATGTATTAGCTTAAAAGTCGATTACGTTGATAAATAAATACAATTTACATATACTTATCCTAGAGTCTCGATGTGTTTCCAGAAACTTATTGATCAACCGGTTAGACTTATGAACACGATCTCTTAGGGGCTATTTTTAGAATATGTACATCGCTATCCCGTGACTTCCTCCATAGATTGCTTAATTTGATAGATATTTGCCATAGTTGCCTCGCTTGAAGGGCGGGGTTTTCTTTTATAGGATAGGGTGACAAACGAGCACACAGTCAACCTGATGGTAAGTGGTTGCTGTGACCCATAGACATCTACATTTATCCTCAATAAAGAATCAAAATGCAGATGCGTCGTCACCCGTGAGGACTAAGATGGAATGCCTTTTTTCCAGTAAAATGGGTCTCCGGTTCTCCACACTCACCATATGAAATACAGCAGTATTTCGTATGGTGGTCCTTCCCCGGTCGAGCCAACCCATTCGTGCTACAACTATACTACTTTCGTGCTACAACCATACTACTGATATAGCTGCAACATGGCTCTACCACGTATAAAATTTGGTTGACACTCGTAGTTGTTATCAGGAAGACGCAGCCTATCTTCAATTCCCTCTGTCGCCTCTTACGATACCCACAAGATGAAGGAATGGGGAAGTGGAATCTCTTAAGCTGTCTCCCCATAAAGAGTATCATGTATTCCTTAACATTGTAATAACTTTATTAAAAGAATATGTTTCATTTTATAACTCTCTCCTTAATACATTCTTATTTTTTCTCTCCTGTTAATTGATATTTCTAGGATTTTGTAAACGGCACACGTATTTAAATATCGAGAACATTTTGCAATGTCACTTATATTTTTTCACAGTGGCAACAGTACCTCCGTTGTGACGGCCTACCAGATCCTCGAATCGTCACGCAGATGAACACTTACTTGCATATTTGGAGAGAGAAGAACGTGTGCGACGATGAGGAGCTGCAGAAACGTTGCGTGGAGGTTCTACCGGTACGTGCCATCTTACATATATTTAAAAAAAATATTAGTGCAATTTGGTCTCCTCTCAATATTGACTTTTCATTTGGTGACTAATTATAACTTCAATTTTTAGTTTAAAATAATTAAAAATTAAAAATTATGTTCAACCGACATCAATATAAGTTATTAAGAATAATTCAAAAACTATTGCTCAGACCTTGATCAAATTTATATGGGACGACATGTAAAGTACCAACTTTCACATAAAAAAATAATCATTGAAATCGGTTCACTCAGAAAAAAGTTATGAGGTAACACACAAAAACATACAGTTAAAAAAAACATACAGTCGAATTGAGTACCGTCTCCTTTTTGAATTCGGTAGAAAAGACTGAATCGATTTTCTCGAATGGTTTAGATAATAAAGCGTTTAGCGATCTACTCTACGATCGCTGTTTAGCGGTCACTTAATTGTACATATACATGTATATATAAATTTAAGTTTGGTATGTGTTATTGTAACATGTCGTGTGCAATAAAGAGTATAAATAAATAAATAAATAAAGCTTAAATTCTTACACCCATCACCCAGAAGTGCGGGCATCATTTACATCATCTTCATTATTATTGGCAACCGCAGTTTTTTACATCAAAGTGGACTTAATTTAGCCCATTTTCGATACATCTCCAATTTTGTCGATAAACTTATATAGAACAACCTTAGACTTGCAATTAAGTGTCAAAATTAAATGGCTTGGAGACGATGTCTTCATTTCCTGCTAAATGCAAAAGTTCACTAACCTACGAAATTATACAAACATAAAACACAAACACACGTATAGACATTTTTTCAATAAAGAAGAATCGGAATTGATGCATTTGTTGAAATTTGGTGAACAAAAACATTACACTAACTAATGTGAAGTTAATAGATTATTAGTAACATTTATGAAGTCAAAACATTTTTAAGAGCGTTGTTTGATTTTTAAATAGGTAAAATATCACGAGTTCTTGTCACCGACATGTTAACGTTTACAGTCTATATGTAACTGTAAGTATGACATTTTGTGCGACAATATGTCGTCAGGTCAGTCCTATTCTTATATGTATCTCATAGTACAGTATACGTTTGTTTCACTCTGTTTTACCAATCACTGAATTCTGATTGCCAATCAGTCACAATCGCTTTGTTGACACGGGGGCTTGTAAGTTTACTTATTCAAATCATCAATTTTTGTAGATGCTAGAACTGCTTGATGACATACTGTCTGACTCCAGACAGTACACCGAGCTGCAGGTGCAGAGCTTTAATGAGGCAAGTATTATTTTATGTTATTATTTTTATTACAAGTTTTGAAGTTATATTTCTTTTGGGGCGTTGAGGAAAAATGATGAAGGTGAATTTTTACGATGCGCGCGCACACCGACAGCTAAAAACGACACCATGAAGTTTTTTTTTTTACAGGAGAGGGGACAAACGAGCATGCAGCTCACCTGATGGTAAGTGACTACCGCCGCCCGTGAACAACTGCATCACCAGGGTAACCAGGAGAATTGCAGATTCGTTGCCGGCTTTTTAAAAAGGAGTAGGATCGTTTCTTGAAGGTCCCTAAGTCGTATCGGTCGGGAAAAATCGCTGATGGTAATCGATTCCACAAGGAAGTCGTGCGAGGAAGAAAACATCTTCTAAATCGCACAATGGTCGATGGTGTGGATGGTATCGGGAGTTTTGCCGCGATGTGCGTTCGTGAAATTTGGCGGCTGGGATTAATCCGAACAATTCCTCAGAGCACTCCCCGTGGTAAATGCGAAAGAAAATGCAAAGGGATGCAACATCTCTTCGCAGTGCCAATGAATCGAGCCGATCGGAAAGAACTCGATCGTCGACGATTCGAGCCGCTCTGCGCTGGATGCGGTCAAGTGGAAGGAGCTGGCATTGGGGAGCCTCTGTCCAGAGATGGGAACAGTATTCCATGTGAGGCCGAACCTGGGTCTTGTGAACGTGCAGACGGTGTGCCGGCATGAAATACTGTCCCGCTCTATTGAGCACGCCAAGCTTTTTAGAGGCCAATTTGGCCTTCTCTTCCAAGTGACTACGAAACTGCACGTCACTCGATATGTCGATGCCAAGGATTCTGATACTAGCTGAGGAAACAAGGGGAGTGCCTTGAAACTGAGGAGATACGACAAAGTGGTTCTTTTGAGTGGTAAACGCGCAAACTTGTGTATTCTGAGGATTAAATTGGACTAGATTTAGTCGCCCCCAATCCAAGACTTTGTTCAGCAAAGATTACGCTTAAGAAATATTACTTCCTACGTGCGTACTTAAGTACACACACAGTTTTTTTTATTTACCTTGCTTTCTTCGAGTGTATTTGCGGTTCAAAATTCGTAAACAATTTTTGAAGCACTAGTTGAAATCCGATCAACCTGAAACTTGACATATTTATGTAACTTGTATGACAATGTAATAATCTTTATATTTAAAAATTATGTTTCAAATAGTTTGTCCGCGATGAACTCCGAAACCACTCAATCGATTTGAATTATTTTTTTTAATGTATATTGCTTGTTCCAACTTGAGGGATAGGATAGTCTATATCCCGATAATTGACCCTCAATATTTTTTTAAATGACAAAGGGCGGTCGGAAAGGGCAGGACAGAGTCTGCCTGGCCAGCTAGTATGTATATATTTATAGATATAGGTACATATACGTACATATACCATATTATTGCATTGTCTTGGCACTAATTTGATGATAGACCTGGATATTGACCCTAGCAATACCTATAAAAGCTTCTTTTTAAAAAGATTTATTTATTTTAAAGCACTAAAGGTGACAAAAGAGCATACAATCTACCTAATGATAAATGGATGCTGTGGCCCATAGATATCTACATCTATTGTCCATTAAGAATCAAAATGCAAGTCCATTGTCACGCTCGATGGTAAATGTATATTAATGTGTGATTTTTTTTCTGAGGTGAGTCATATTTAGGTACTACCCACCTAGTCATAATTAATTATGTCTATTAAACTCTAATTTTCACTTTAAAACCTGAGAGTATGTAAATACAAGCGGGATTTGTTTTGTTCACGAATGACGCAAATGGACTGTTAGGTGTTTGGAGATTAATACTGTATTCTAAGGCAGTGTGTTGCGAAGATGGGCAAATGCTGAAACTTACTTGCCAGTCTGTAACGTCATCGTAAATAGAGCCCGAGGGCATAGTGAGGTCGGTTATGGAGGTGCCAAATCGGTCATGAGAGACTGTTTTAAAGATGGGGGTTTTCCCTTTATTACAAATGGCCAGATAACTAAGCAGAAAATCCGCCAAATCATCACTTCGTTTGTTGCTTGTATCGCTACTCTAGAGGGGGTGCTACCCATTAAAATCACCATATACGACCTTGAAGGAATCAAGTCTCGTCTTAATAAAGGCGTCTGGTAGTGGAATGACTCTTTAACAGTATAGTTTCCAGTTCTTGTCACTTACCATACAAAACACAGCAACATTAAACTGTTATAATAAATTGGAATTCTAAGAGATGTAATCCTCCCCGGTCGAGCTGATCCATTTGTACTACAGCCGTAATACAGCTGCAGCATGTCTATATTATAAGAAAATTTGAAATTAAAAAAATACATTAAAACATTATTTCTTTAGCTATAACTATATGATTATCATTATCATCATACCAGCCTCAAATAAGTCTACTGCTGGTTATATATCTCTCTCAAGTATTCCAATAACACAGTGTTGAGCCACCTGCGTCCATGGACTTCCTGCATGTATTGTGTTATACATGATGTAACGATATGTTACCAGATCTTTACATCACGAAGCTAATCGCCATAACCGATTGTCGATTCTTACAGCTTCTTTTTTAATACTTTTTAAACTTTTTTAACTTTTTTAAACTAAATTGGCAAACGAACTAACAATCTACTTCATGGTGAGTGGTTACTGCAGGCCAGGTTACAATATTAAACTAGTTCTGTGGTAGGTGGCGAGATGAGTTCACCACGAAATTTTATATCGTGAGTATAACATTGACTAATAACTCAACAGCGCCCCCTATAGGGTCCAGATTATGTAATTTTCTTTTTTAGCACTAAACCGACGTATTATATTCTGGATATGAGTCATATTGATCCATAAATATAGAATTTGTTAATAACTTGACTACTGCTTCACTTATAGGATCCTAGAATGGCATGGACCATCGTCTCTAGTAACTATTATCTAATCTTTGATATTGTGCGAATATGAGCTCACCAACGAAAGATAATCCACAATTGCAGGTCCGTGTAGCCCTTCGCCAGGAACTTTCTAATGCTATTCACTTCGCCTCTTACACCCTCCTCCGGGATCTTGAACATCGATTTAAATGGGAATCTATCAAGGTGGCCAATTACCAGCGTGAATTTAAAGGTATCCGTCTGAACCTTTGGGTGGCAGTCAGATTGCCTACTAGAAAACCCAAACCAGTGGAACCAGAAAGGTAATGACCAAAGACAATAATGAATACCTCTGTATACAAAAATTTGAGTCACAAAAGTTGATAAAAAAATTAAAACTAAACTGAATTAGTAAATTACTGTGGTACTTCTCTGCTGGCTGTATGAGGAAGCTTAAGGTCACTCAACGAGTTACGCAGAGATTTATCTGCATGATAGAATTTGGAATGAAAATAACCACAGTAAAACTGGAGTAACGACTTAGGTCAACGAATCAGTAAGCTGATGTAGCAATAGCCCGGCCACATAGCTTGAAGGACCGACTACAGGGGAAGAAAGGTTCTCGAAAGCTAACGTCGGATAAGTAAGCAAAGTATAGGATGGACCCTCCCATTAGTTGAAGTGACGACTTGGTAAGACATGCAGGAAGTCGATGGATTCAAGTGGCTCAGGATTATTTTGTGGAGGCCTATGTTCAGCAGTGGAGTTGTGAAGGCATTTAATGATGAGAATGATACACAATACTATTATTATTTATAATAAAAAGTAACAAATATTATTTTTCAATCAGAAAGTCCGTAAACATAAACACACGTGTGCAGTACCTGATAGTAAAGAAAGAAAGAAAATGCCTTTGTTTGCCAGAAATAAATGTTTGTAACAGTGGTAGAGCCACGCGGCAGCTTTTGCTGTCGCACGGATGGGCCGGCTCGAACCGGGGTGGTACCACGACCTCACAGAAAACCAGCGTGAAGTAGAGGTTCACCTCTGCGTTTCGCTTGGTGAGTGCAGGTGGCCGGAGGCCCTTTCCATCTTAGTCCTCACGGGTGACAATGCATCTACATTTTGATTTGTAATAGAGGATATATGTAGATGTCTATGGGCCGCAGCAACCACTTACTATCAGGTGGACTGTGAGCTCGTTTGTCACCCTCATTCTATAAAAAAAAAATGAGCGAATGCTGAAGCCTAGAAGCTCCTAGGTACATCTATTCTTGATTAGAAATCGAAATGCAGATACGTTGTCAGACCCTGTAGACTAAAATGGAATGCGCTGTTTCCAGTAAAACGTGACTCCAGTTTTCTATACTTATCATACGAAATACAGGAACATTAAGCAACTTTTTCACACTGGGTTTTTGTGAGAGACAGAAGAGTATTTAGACTAGGTGCTAGCTAACCTTACTCATCAGGTGCCTAAAAAAAATTAAAAAATCTAATTGTAAATATTTGCTAATCATGCAACGACAAATATTTGTCTATGGACGTTTCTCTTGTTTCCACTCTACAGTAGAATATAAGGGCGCTTAATATTAAGTAATAATAATTAAGCCTAATTTAAAAAAAGCAATTTGACTCTACTAAATATAAAGTTTATTAAAGAAAATTAAACAAAGAAAAAAATAACGCTCACACTGAATTAAATTTATACAGGCTATTTGAATTGTAAATTTGATGTAGCGGATAGTGTTTGACCATAATTTCCTCGTATTTACGTGTAGGTAGCATAGTAATTAGTAACGGTTCATTCCTATTTGCGGGACGACACATCCGATTTTTAATCGGATTACGTTCGAACGCGTGGCATATCGACAACAATGAGGAAGTGCACTTAGCTTTCTATTTTTTTAATGTTTTCATTAAATTTACCTATGTTTTAACCACCTAACAAATTGAGCTAAAATTTTACTCAGACTTCATTAGGTGCTTATGATAATACTAAGATAATACTAGCCGCCGCTCCGAGGTGGATAATATATTTTTTTACAAACCCCTTGGTATGATTGTAGATTGTTTTTTTTATATTATAGTTTTTTTTTGTATCTTTGTAACTTTTTTTCTTGGTCATTTTAATTTAAGGTTCTACGTTATAACTTTGAGTTGCCTGTACTTTCCATATTTTGTAAGAAATGGCTAAATAAAAATCCCTCTCTTTCTTTCTTTTTTGTTGCCACTGAGATCGAAATCTAAAAAAAGACGTCATCGTAAATTTTTTCATTATTAGGGAGCCAGTTGAACTTTCATTTCCCACCATGAAGGTGAGTATCAAGCTGCCAAAGATTATCGATGGTTCCTGCGTTTGCGTCAGAGCAGCCCGCTCCATGATCGATCTATTGAGCGAGAGTTCACGGACTTTTGCCCTTGCCGCTGATATGCCTAATAAGTATGAAGGTAAGTAGCAATTTAAAAAAGTTGTCAGCATCATCATGATTACAGCCCCTCACGAGTTCACATCTGAACATAGGCCATCCTCATAAATTGTAATATGACACCCCGCAATTGATTATGGTAGATAAAGTGAAATGAAATTAGTATAGAAATTAAAAATATGAGGTTTACACATCGATAAAAAATTATATATGTCAGAAATCAATAAATACTTATACGTGCAGCAAAAATATCATGGAGGCTTAAACCCGAGGTGATCAGAACGATTTACGTGTCCGTCATTGAACCGGTTATGATGTATGCCGCAAGAGTTTGAGCACCGGCAATTCACAAAATTGCGATCAAAAACCAGCTGAAGAATCATTTCGTACCTCCACACTTTTCGGTGCTCTTTAAACTGAAAAAACCGCGGTTTGGTGCACTTTCTGGGGCTGGGGGAAGTAACACACTTCCGGAACAGGGAGAGATAGTGGATAAAATTTAATTTTGCTCTATAACGTTCATATCCCAATAGATAAAATTACTCCATTAATTTTGCCAATTTTAAGCTAAAATGATTGAATAAATGAGCGAGGTCTGATGTTATATCACGCTTCTGAGCCGCGGGTGAAATCACCGAAGACAGCTAGTTCATTAATAATGTCCTCCACACTGGTCACGGTAGCCAGTCATAACGTAGAGCAGCCATTTGCGCAGGACAGGATTATCACCATATCAGCGCAAGTGGGAGTGCACTTTTATTCTCACTTTCATAGGCCGGCACTCCGACCAAACAGAGATCAGGCCCAGGACCAACGTCTTTACTTAGTTTCTTAACCTATATAAAGTAAGAGTAAACAAGTGATTTTATTTTCACACTGAAGTGTGTTTTCAGATTTATATACATTTAATATCAAAGAACATGAAGCAGTGCACAAATTGAAGAAAGAGCAGGACGACATACGTGATAAATTCTACAAAGAAGTTAAGGAAAAAATAACAGAATTGGAGAAGTTTTTAAAGTCCAACCCGTAAGTATAAATCTTACATTATTAAGTTTTTATATGTACAGTAAATCAAATGATATTTCTTCTATCAGCCCGTCTGGGTTGATTTCATTAACTTCTGCCACCAAGTGCACTCTGCAGTCCTTTCTCTAAAATTTCGATTAGTAACATTCGGACGATTTTATATGGCAAAACAAGCGAGAGCTTTGGATCCCATAATTATACAATACTACATTATATTAACGTTGTGTTCATATTGTAAAATTGATCATATCATGAAGTGATCACGAATGGCTAAACCATTTCATGATATAGACAATTCTTACTAACCCTCTTTATAATTATTTTGTACAAGTGTTTATCACGGAACTCTTTCTGAACGGCTGGGCCGATTTTGATTAAATTTTTTGTGTTTGAAGTCCATGGATAGCTTAGATTCACAATTGGACCCGGTAGGTTGGCGAGAGAACACCCGTGGGAAGTCGGGGTGGATTACTAGTATCATATAAATTTCAGCGTTTCTCAATTTGTCAATTACGTTTGGCCATAATATCACAACTATGAAAGTAGCCATCTACTATTTACAATGAAAGTGGGCTGACCCAGCCGCATCAACACACTTTTCTCTTACCACACAATATCTTATTCTATCATTTAGATCCACCCCCGTCGTACTTTTAAATGACTGTATTTCTACTGCATTAATTCTTCTTTTATGCAATTTTTATGTCTACATCCAACTTTCACTGTCATACATTAATGTAAGGACTAACATAACATTATGAATTGCCATACGTGCCGTTTAGACCTTCCAACTTGCCGTAACAGAGCAAAGCGCCATTCACTCTATGTTTTTTTTTATAGAATACGGGTGACAAGCGAGCATGCCGTCCTTATGCTAAGTGGATGCTGTAGCCCATAGAGATGTATATTCTCTATTAAAAATCAAAATGTAGATGCGTTGTCATCCCTGAGGACTAAGATGGAATGCCTCGTTTCCAGTAAAAAGGGTCCCCGGTTCTCTACACTCACCATACGAAACACAGCAGCATTAAGTTATTTTAATAATCCACTTTATTACACAAACTACTAATACACAAACACATCCACTTGCTCCATCAACTCCCCTTCTCTTATTATTTCACGTATAGGATTACTTTCTTCGCTTTCAAAATCCATCAATTCCGTCTTACTGGCGTTAAATATGTTTTATTTCAGATATACAAAAAACGATAAGGAAAAAGAGGAATTAGACAATTTGAATATGGCGGAACCGGAATATCTGCCTGATCCAAGAACGTTTATTGGGGAACAAAACGGTGTGTGTAGTTTACATAAGAAAATTCTACCAAAATTTTAACAAATAAATCAAGAACACAGTCCAAGTGATGGTTTAAAAGCACGATGAGCTGATGGTGTGGCCTATATACATCTGCATTTATACTCGATTAAGTATCAAAATATCGTTACCAGAAAAAGTTTTTTTTGTATAGAACAAGGATGACGAAATAGCACACAGTCTACCTGATGGTAAGTGGATGCTGTGGCCGGATGATACATTTATCCTAAATTAAGAATCAAAATGCAGATGCGTCGTCACCCCTTAGGACTAAGGGGAAATGCCTCGTTACCAATAGTAAGGGCACATGAGTAAGAAACCGACCAGAGGGGAAGCTACATACAAACGTCTCGCTGCGGGTAAACCCACACATAGTGCAGCGATGTGTGCGTGATCTCTCACCGACAGGTTCACCGACGCTCCGTGAGGGTACAAACTGGTTTACGCCCGGCTCAGTCAGAGACTAAATAGACGAATAATATTTCGTGATTTTATAGATCAACAAATCAATTTTTTTTTATTTGAGTTAAGTTTGGAGATTGTGTACTATAAAATAAGACATTATAGATTTATAAGTATATTACACAATAATTAGTGTTCGTATAAGCTAAATGCCTATGTTGTACAGTACCTATGTATTAACAATTCGAGAGAAAATAATACAATAGCCAGACAGTGGTGCAGTTAGTGTTAGTGGTAGTAGTGCTGGTGATGGTGATGGTGGACATTGGTGCTGATCGTGCAGTGTTGGTAACGGTGGATGGTGATGCTGTACGTGCTGGTAATGGTGTCAGTGATTGTGGTGGTGCTGGTAGTATCATTGGTGGTGGTGGTGGACAGTGGACCGCCACTGGCACCACCACCACGACCAGCTCACCACCACAGCCCTTACTACCGCCACCATCATCCTAGTAGTAACATTGGTGGTGGTGGTGTATCAACGCCGCCACTGCCCACTACCATCATCACATTCATTACTAATACCATCAGATTTTATGTACTCATGAATACGTTGTCTTACGAAAATTATATTGATAGAAATATAGATATGTATATGTAATGTGAAGCTAAGCATGAAAATAAGCAAAATATAAAATTATTGCAGTTTCAATTTTCATTACAAATAACAGACATGTTATTATATTGACTTAAGTTACAATGAATACACATGTTGTTTTATACTATATAATATTTTTATTTTTTCCTTAAAATTTTCACATGCATCAGGTGATAACCCTATCAGAATAGGTATAGATTTTCGACTTTGTTAGAAAGCTTCCCCTCTGGTCTTCTTTACTCTGTGGTAAGGATCTCTGGTTCTGTACAATCACCATATGAAACGCAGTAGCCTTAAGCTACTATTTACGCTCGTATTCTGTAAGAGCGTGGTCCGGTCCCGGTCAAGCCGACCCAATCCACCACGTAAAAAGTATCTCCGATTTCCGTCGAAACCTAATGACTATATGCTATTTTACGCTATTATTCTGTGCAGGCGTTGTTGTCAAAATGAAATATTATTTTTAGGGTTTTAAAGCTATTTGTCCCAAAATTTGTAGCGTCACTAATAATAATTGAATTAAGGACGTGACCGAAAAATTATGACTCTCGATAGATACGGTATAATGTGATATTGATCCATAGTGCGATCATCAAACTGCCGCCGACCAAGCGTGGGATTTCAAAGCAAATTCTCAACAATTTTTGTGGGCTTAAGATGAACCGTAAAATGATATTCTCTTGAATATCGTAAGAGGTGAAAGAGGTAAGAATAAACCAGGAGATGGGCGGCAGCGTCTTCCTAATAACATATAAAAAATTAAAAAAATACAATCTATCGGGAGGCCTATGTTAAGGAGTGGACTTTGATGGACTGATAATAGGCTCATGAAGATGAATAAATATATTCTAACTAAAATTAGTGTATACATGCGAATCCAAAACCCGAAAAACATATTTTCTTACACCGAATTTGTTTTCATTAAATTTTCATTACTCTAGAACAAGCCTACACAAAGTATCTAAAGATGTGCTTGATCAAGACGAAGACTGGGGAAGTCAACCTGCGTAGGTACAGGTAGGTGTGTTGGCGAAAGCAGTTTAATTTAAGAAACATCTATTATTCATTTTAATAACTGTTAAAATAATAGTAAAAGATCTCGTTGGTCTAGTGGTTGTAAACGCGGTTGCTGATCATGAGATCTTGGGTTCGAATCCCGAATCGGGTCAAAATCAGTTATTGGGTGTATCTGTCAAGAAATTGTCAATAGCAGCCCGGAGCCAGGAAGTTGGCGATGTTTCACCCCCGTTCCTCGGAAAGCACCTTAAGTCCTGCATTTGATCTCTTTCTGGTCATATCAGATAACCTTCTCATCGGGCTGTGATCGTTAATTCACCTGCCGAGTGTAACGATAAGGCAAATCCTACCTACAAGGGAATGGTCTATATCCAGCTGTGTACTTTTACGGGTCAATGAAGGAGAAAAAGTATGAAACAAATGGGGCCCTCCTGGATACAGGATAAGTGAAAAGTCCACTGCGCTGTGATTCGCTGCCCTGATGCATGGTCATATGTTTACACCTCCTAGTATATTTGAAATATATTTTATAAGAATTTGATTTTTCAAACAATCAGCACTTAAAATTACAGTTATCAATTTCCGTGGTGGCAGGAAAGATCGTACTAGTGTTACTGGCGAAATGCCTGCAAGTAATTTAAGGCCGGGAAATGGGCGTACCTCAACATCTCATAGTATTGATTGCCAATCTGTACCAAGAAGGCGAATCCATGGTTAGAGTCAATGGCGTCATATCTGGACCATTCAAGCCAAAAAAAGGAGTAAGACAGGGATGTATCCTGTCTCCTATCCTGTTTAACATCTACGGGGAATATATAATGAGAAGGGCCCTAGAAGGATGGGAGGGAGGAATTTCAATCGGGGGTGTTAAGATCAGCAACCTCAGATATGCGGATGACACCACACTCTTTGCATCATCGGAAAAAGAACTCGCTCAACTCTTTCGCAGATTAGAGGTAGAGAGTGGACTGGCTGGACTTAGTATTAACAAGTCCAAAACAAAAGTTATGTTGATAGACAGAACCGGTCAACTCTCTAGGACTGGAGAACTCTCGGACCTAGAGTTTGTGAGTGAGTTTGTTTACCTCGGATCGCTACTTTCGGACAGAGGAGGAAGTGAACAAGACATAAGAAGACGAATCCAAATAGCCAAAGGTGCAATGAGTAGATTAAAAAGAATTTGGCAGAACAGAAAAATCTCTAATGTCACCAAAAAGAGACTTGTCAGAACTTTAGTGTTCTCCATCTTCCTTTATGGCTCTGAAGCATGGACGATTCGAGCAGCAGACAAGAAAAGGATTGATGCGTTCGAAATGTGGTGTTGCAGAAGGATGCTTCGGATACCATGGACCGCTAAGAGGACCAACGAATCGATCCTGGGGCAGCTTCGTGTTGACACCAGACTCTCTACCACGTGTTACCAGAGTATTCTGAGTTACTTTGGTCATATTGCCCGACGCCCGCCTAATAACTTGGATAGACTTATAGTCGTAGGTAAGGTGGGGGGCAAAAGACCACGCGGCCGATCATCTAGCCGCTGGTCAGACCAGGTCAAATCACTCACTGGCCTCTCACTCACGACTGCAATGCAAAAAGCCGAGGACCGGACAGAATGGAGGGCTATAGTGAACAGCGCTACGAAGGCACTAAAATACGGACACGACCTTCAATTTTGAAGAACACGACCAAGAAGAAGAATTTAAGGCCAGCGCCGAACCCCTGAGGTAACACAGCTCTAATTTAGAAATAAATTGGATAAATACTAACAGCCATAACAATGATAGAGACACTGATATTCATGACAAATTTTTAGCTCGCATAGTCAATATATGTATGTTGCATAATAACGTAAAGAAGTTTTTGTTAAAAAGAATATAGAGTGAGAGCGGATTTTCAATGTACTCTTACGATTACGCAATTAATAATTTTCGCACACAAACAGCGTTAATCACTACACATTCAGCGTAACGCACTTCACATTCAGTGTAACGACCAACACATTTAGAGTAACATACTACACATTCAGCATAGCGCAATTACAATTCAGCCATGCCATAACGGAGTCTTCAAAACAACTCCATAACTGGGAAGTAAGGAAATGATTGTGTTGCACTCGGGCCTCTGAATTCTCAACTTCCTTTTTTAAATGTCTTTATTTTAACACGTTACGATTACGATGCAGTCGTATAGGTTAGCATCAGTATATAAAATTTAAAAATATACATTTGCATTACGCAGGATCTGTGGCGGAATCCTCAATCTCGATCTACTGACTACTCCACCTCAACCTAAACGCATGAGAGGTGGCATCACTTTGACGACGTGTGAGTGTGACATTTTTATTTGTTATTAATAGTAAATGACTGTATCGTCAATCTACGTGCCGCGTCTGTGAGCCTATGTTCAGTAGTGGACTTTTACAGAATGATGAAAAACAACAAATAATATTAACGTCAAAGCTAACAAAACAATATAAAACATTTAAAATATCTAAATTGTTCCGTGTCAAAATAGGAAGTATTACTATAACAATTTGTGTTTTGCGCTGACTAGGAATCAAATCCAAAAGTTGCACACAGTAGTTGTATTGCTTTAACCATCACTTAATCATTGGTCTGGAAGTAAGATAAGGTAGTATTTACAGAAGATACTGTTAGAACAGTGAAAGTACAATATTGAAAATAAATTTATATCTTATTGTTTTGAATTTATTATATAAACATACCTATTAGGTTTATAATATTTTTTAACACATCTAAAGATATATAATTTTAAAACCTTAGATTACACGCCATTTTATATTATTTTAAACATAATAATTTGAATTCACTGCAAACAAAATATTAAAATTTAAAAAAAAACTAGTGAGAGTATTATTAGGTCATACTTAGTCACAAAATTATTGTATAGTCATCGGTTAGAATAGAATAGAATAGAACTGCAAATTTACGTCCATAAGTGTACATTCATCCATACACATAGTTGAAACTAATAACGATAGCGTGATAATTATAAGGTTCTATTATTGGTACATGTCGTATAATTTATACATGTATAGCGTACAAAAATACAAAAATAAAAAATATTTGAGTTTCAACACGACAAAAATCTTTGATACATGTGCTGTAATTATCCTAATGAGTATAGGTAGGTAGGTAGGTCATGGTCATGAAATTATTGTATTGTCATCGGATCTACATCAATATGTCTGCAAAATGTCTGTCCGCAAAAATTTTTGTCCGGAAATGCATTTTTACATACATCTTTTTCTGCTTAGGAGGCCGTCTTTCTAGGTACCGCCCTTTTATTTATGTCTGCCTCCAAATAGTAGTGCTTGCACTGCTGTGTACTATGATTTGAATGCTATAAAGAGCGAGTATAATTATACACTGTGCGGCATTCCATTTTAGTCCTTTTAGCATACAACGCATCAGTAGTTTTCTTTGTTTGAAATTAATTGTCCATGGACTGCAGTAGCCACTTACCATCAAGAAGTCAGTAAGATCGTTTGTCACTTCAGTTTTATAAAAAAAAATAAACATATATACGCCCAAACTAGTTAAACTAATAACAGTGTGTACGAATACATAAAATTAGAATATGCTTTTCCCTGTAACAGTACAAAAATTCAAACAAAAAAACCATTGATATAAACAAAAGAAAGGTGTGGTAGATACACCCGAATAATTATAAAATAATCGAACTCCAACTAACCCATACGAAATAAGAAAACAGAATTAAGATATTATACACTCTGACCGTAGTGACAAATGTCGGTATGACGCGGCAACGCTCTCTATGAGGTAGGTCTGTAGCGACGATCGAAAGCCTCATGATAGTGAGTCAATTGAAATAGCTTACTTGTAGTTAATAGAATCAGGCGTTACTTTTCGGAAATCCATTATATAAAAGCTTTTAGAAAAATTTACTTACGCGGATATTTGCGAAGTAAAAAATTTTTCTAAAAGCTTTTATAGCTTACTTGGTCCTCTTCCTCAGGTTAACTACCGTATCTTGTTTCAACAACAAAATAGACATTTGTCTATTTTGTTACATCAATGTAACAAAATAGACATTTTCCTATTTTGTACAGAGTACACAATTATATATAATCCTGCAGTTGTTTTCATTCTTCTCATGTAATATATTCATTATAATCTGCACATTTGGCTACTTCATCGAAAGACTCAGTTTTTCTGTAATTTTAATTTCAAAGTAGTTGCTTCTCATCTCATTAACCAAGGGTCCTCAGTTGACTACTTTTATCTATCTAAATTCAAGTGTTACAATTTTATCAGGCCGGCATGCAGTTAGGATAGATGCACATGAATCGTGGCTTGTGGAAGTTCATCGTAAGGGTTAGTTTACGTTCAGTAAGCAATTTGGGTTGAGCTGAATTGTGATGATGGTAAAAGCCACTCTTTATTTAAACGTAGGCTATAGCACATAAATAGATCAAAGCAACTGGGAAGGATCACGTTTAAATAAACGCATAACGCTACTGTGATTCGTATGAATCACCATTAAAGAAGATGGTTGCTTGCATGCATTCTTATTCCTCAGAGGTGAAAGCTTAGCAACTTCATCTTAACTACAATCTTGCTTGTAAGACCCATTCTCTCATTATTTAAACCGCGCTTAGTATGTTCAATCACGCCAGTGATACATTTTCCGGCTGTTTCATCTTCTGCGTAACCAAACTCTTCTTCAATCTTCTCCAAAACAACACTTGTTCGGCGTCTTCTTTTGGCCAGACAATATACGTGTTTGTGACCATCAAATAATGAAGAGTATTAGGGCGTAGACGACGGGGAATATCTTCTAAAAGGACGAGGATGAGATCCTCACGTCTGGTCTCCAGAAGCCTGTATCAAATTGATTACGCTATTAGGATAAAAAATGCAAGGTCATTTATACGGATATATCATAGAACGTGGACATACGAGTATCTAGTAAAATTCTAGATGAAGGAGCTGATTAAATTGATCACTACGATCTAACTTGCGATAACGTAAAAAAGTTTTATTAAAATTGGCCTCTACAAAGCACCTTTTGAAAGTCAAGAAAACTACGGAAATCGCTAATTTTGTCAAAGGAATGAAAATAGTTTCTTACAAAATGGATTGTGATGAAACAGTTAAGACATTTTTAAATAGGTCTCTGAATGAGTCTTATATGATAAATAGCACTTTTTCTTCATCATCAGCTCGTAAATTCCCAGCACTGTGATTGCGTCTCCCTTTGAAGAAAAGATTCGCCACGCTTGGCAGGTGGATCGGCAATCGTTGAACCAATCGCCTTGCACCTCAATGCTGGTATTTAGGTATTGATGATTACACTGTCCCCTGTGAAAAGTAATGAAATCTTTCTGGCACTTATCATAGTCGTCTCTAGCAACACCAACTGGACAATACAGTATGTCACTTTGAAAGGGCTGGCCGTAAAATAAAAAAAAATAAAAAGTAAAGGACATAAACAAGCAATAGAATTATAAAACAAGAATATAACGAGGAACAATAATAATAACCACTACTAACTAACACAAACATTTTAAGTTTACTTAGTGCTACTTGCCTAACTAACCATATTGCTAACCATATGAGCCGTGGTAGCTCAGATGGTTAGCGCTCGCTGTAAGTTTCACAGTACTCGAGCAACCCGGGTTCGATCCCCGCCGGTACCAATGAAATGGTTAATTGCAATTTTAGATACTGATTTACCACGTGCTCGGCGGCGAAGGAAAACATCGTGAGGAAACCTGCATGTCTGAGAAATAAGAAAAAATATTTCGATGACATGTGAAGTTCGCCAACACGTATTGGGGCAGCGCGGTGGACATTTCCTTGCTCTAAAACCCTCTCAGAAATGAGAGGAGGCCTGTGCCCAGCAGTGGGACGTAAATAGGCTACAAACTTTACTTTACTTTAGTGTTACTTTATTATTCATGTGAATAGCGTTAAGCCGCGTATCTATTACACGCTCCTGGCGCGCGCGCCATGAGTGACCGCAGAACGTATTCCAAATGTTCGAAGTGTATCAACTAAGCGCTGCTCCAGTGTTTGACCGTTCAACATGGATGTCGGTCACGTACGAGCAGCTGCACTTTCATAGTTCCATGCATCTTCTCTGAGTGTTTTATTATGATAAAAACGACTTTTGCTATTCCACAGCAATTATTTTGAACCATATAATTTTATCAGGTTTTTTAAAAGTATATGGTGACAAACGAGCACACAGTCCACCTGATGGTAAGTGGTTGCTGTGACCCATAGACATCTACATTTATCCTCGTTTGCGAATCAAAATGCAGATGCGTTGTCACCTGTGAGAACTAAAATAGAATGCCTCTTTTCCAGTAAAAAGGTTCAAGGCAACTTTGGTTATTCATAGCTCGGAACGTAACGAACACACGATGATGAAAACAACCGTCCGAACTGGTGCGTGCGCCAATACTTAACTACTTTGATTCGCTGTAGAATACCGACACCAAATGGAACGGCCCGCTCCACGTTTGAACGTTCCAGCAAATAATTTGGCACGCGTTCCAAGGCGGTATCCATTTCACGCCACTGGAACGCGCGCCAATGTTCGGTCTCTTGGAGCGCATAATCGATACGCGGCTTTACTAGCTCGTATTCTATTTAACCAATATACTAAAATAGGAGAAGATATAATCAACTACAGTTTAACCATTTCACCCACTACTCGTCGTTTATTAATAGCGGTCATATCTACAATACCCCTAATTGAAGTCTGATACTGCGATTACTAATTTACCCTCGCCAATATGAAAGAACCCCATGTCCAGCTGTGGACCTCACACGACCCGATGACAATTACGTATAATATTGTCCTCCGAATTTTGGTCACTGCGGCTAATCTCTATGGTGACTAGCCTTCTGCGCAGAAGAGAATAATTATATACGAATGTGTGCACAACAGGTACACTTTTATTCCCCCACCAAACCGGAGAGAGATCAGGCAAGTACCAAACTTTACGTACTTTCCGAGGCACAAGGGTGAAACTAACTTTCTGAAAATTTCTACACAGAAAAACCCAATAACTGAATTTTGGAGCACGTGATCAGCAGTTGCTCTGACGACCACTAAACCAACGAGGTAATCAACGTACAGAGTTACAGAGTTACGCGGTAATATATAATAATATTAGGACTTTACCTATGAAATTGCCATTCTGCTGTACAAGCCATTTCAAATCAAAAGAATATTTATTTGACAATTCTAATTTCAAATTAATTTTATTTAAAAAGCATGGCTTTTTTTTCAAAAGTAGTAACTTTTTTATTGATTAGCGTTATTTTTTTATCGCATTTGAATCTTTTTCGTCATCATGGATACGTTAAAAATTTGGGTAATTATGGAATTTGAGTACCGTCGTGGCAACAACGCGGCACCAGCGGCACGCAACATCAAGTTTACGAATCAAATACTACAAACGAACGCACCACCTGTTATTGGTATGCCTGCTTCGGTTTTGGAAATTTCGACCTGAATAATGGGCCCCGTGACCGTCCGAAAACTTTGGTCAACAATTACGAATTAAAGGCGATTGTGGAAGCTGATGATACTCAATCTACGGCTGAATTAGCGGCAGCCTTCAACGTTAGCATCAAACAATATTGGTCCATTTCATGGAGAAGCTCGCACGTCTTCAATCAGCTTTGATCAATCGCTCGCCCCGTTACTCCTGCACGACAACGCGCGACCTCATGCTATACAACAGACTGTTTCCAAGTTACAAGAGCTGGAGTTGAAAGCTCTCCGTCATCTGCCGTACTCTCCAGACCTTGCATCTACAGACTTCTACTTTTTCTAGAATTTGGATAACTCACTTCGTCACTTGGAACAGAAGGCCAAATTGGCCTCTAAAAAGCTTGGCGTGCTCAGCAGAGCGGGACAGTATTTCATGCCGGCACACCGCCTGCAACTTCACAGGGCCCAGGTTCGGCCTCACATGGAATACTGTTCCCATCTCTGGGAAGGGGCTCCCCAGTGCCAGCTCCTTCCGCTTGACCGCATCCAGCGCAGAGCGGCTCGAATCGTCGACGACCGAGTCCTTTCCGATTGGCTCGACTCATTGACGCTGCGAAGAGATGTTGCATCTCTTTGCATTTTCTTTCGCATTTACCACGGGGAGTGCTGTGAGGAATTGTTCGGATTAATCCCAGCCGCCAAATTTCACGAACGCACATCGCGGCAGAACTCCCGATACCATCCACACCATCTGGATGATTGGCGGTCCACCACTGTGCGATTTAGAAGATGTTTTCTTCCTCGCACAACTTCCTTGTGGAATAGTCTACCACCAGCGATTTTTCCGGACCGATACGACTTAGGGACCTTCAAGAAAAGAGCCTACTCCTTTTTAAAAGGCCGGCAACGCATCTGCAATTCCCCTGGTGTTGCGGTTGTTCATGGGCGGCGGTAGTCACTTACCATCAGGTGAGCCGCATGCTCGTTTGACCCCTCTCCTATAAAAAAAACTTATTGCGGGAAAAAAATTCAATACCCTAGGCAGTACAAAATGCCTGTGAAGAATTTGTTGCCTCCCGTCCAGTTAATTTCTTCTAGAAGGGCATCAATACTGTATTCTGTATGTATATATACATCGATTGTATGGATGATTACTTAGATAAATAGAAATAAAAATATAGAAAAGAATTACGTTACGTTATTTCATAAAGATACGGAAATTTCATAGATAAACACCTAATATATTAATAATGTAAAATCAAACATATTCACTTAAAGTAAAGAATGATCACCTATGCTGCGCGAGATGCATTTCAAACTGACACCACTGGCTCACCAAAAATCTCTGCGAGATGATGAGCATGATGGCTCTCGAGCGGTCCATGCACGCCACAATATTCTCCAGAATTGACAAACCTACCTATACAAAACGGAAAAGCAAAAATTTTACTCATGTAAGCCTCAGTTAGCTATTTCTATATCTCTATAATATGCCCTAAAAGTCTTAGAAGTGAGATCTATATTTTAGTAATTAGATAAATTTGATTATAATTATCGTTGCATAGTAGCGGCGTAAGAGAGTAGTACACTACACCAGCGATGGCGAACCAATGGCACGCCATCTATAAAGTGTTATCTATATATACTTACCTATCTTCTATCTTTGGTTTTTATTATCATTACATAGATCTGTTTTAAACAGATTTATATTATAATGTATTGATATATCTTTATATATAAAAATTACGTGTCACGTTGTTTTTCCGCGATCCTAAACTACTGAACTGATTGCAATTAAATTTTCCACATTGTATGCAGTTTGGTCCAACTTGAGAGATAGGATAGTTTTTATCCCGATAAGTGATCCTTTTATGTTGCTAATCTCAGGAGTTTTTTTAGGAAAGCAAATGATCGACGAAAAGGGCAGAACTACGTCTGCCTGGTCAGCTACTAATATAATATTTTTTTTAAATAAAGATAACACAAATCAGGGGATAGTTGTATTTTCATCGATTTCCGATGTGCTATTGTTATGCTAAGTCAGTGCGCTTTACCATCTTTGGTTACATCGCCACTTACCATCAAATGGGATAGTACTGAGGCTAAGAATTCGGAATCATCTGAAGAAAAATTAAAAAACACATTAAGATCTCATATTGTGGATCAGGACCAAACTTAAACCTAGCAAAGTTCCCATCAATTGACCCGAAATCAGTACCCACAGAAGAGTACACTGTTGCAAATTATGAAGAACACGAAAAGAACATTGCGCTTACCAAAAAATCTCTTTCGTGTAAACACACGCTCACGTTGCAGTCAGTTTCCAAGTGTGGCAACAAATAGTCGAGCACCCAAGCTCGGTCTTCGTTGGAGTAGGAAACAAATACATCGTAATTAAAGATTGTATTTTCTGAAACATAAACATTTCGATTGTAAATTTATAATTAGTCATGTAAATCACACTTGTGTACATATTACACTTTATTTTTAATAATTTATTTATTTAGATAACTTTGCTTCATGGGTTGTCTGCCACTCAAACAAAATACTCACCATCAATATGTTCATTCTTATTTATCAAACTTAACATCGCCGAATTCCTTATAGTTATGAAGAAATATCTTAAATTTCTTTTAAAAACGAATCCAATGATTAAGAACGGCATTAATAACAACGGTATTATCAGTAAATACTTGTTCCAATAATTTTGGATAGCTGCACCGACTTCCATATCCTTTGTCTCTTTGCAAGATGGTACTCTAGCAAATGATTTAGTTTTTCCATCTGTTATCGTCAAACAATTGTAAGTGGCTTTATCATAATCAAACAAAAGAAACTTTCCTGATATTTCTAACGGAGTACCATTATAACAATTATTTCCGATACAATTTGGTCTGACATATTTTCTGTTTGCTATAGCATAATTTACGTCTTCATATCCACTATGGTATAACAAAGAAACATTTGCGTATTGGTTTTTACGTTTTTCTTCAATTAATTCATCTTTCCTGTCCATTTCATTTCTCAAAGCTAATTCAAATATTTCTCTAGCGTTACAATTGCACACAATATAATTGCCTGTTAATCCAATGTAGGATACATTCTCAAAATCTCTAGCCATCTGCTCGGAAATTACGTTGATGTTATTGCTTCTTACAGACAAGAATTTGAGGCTCGGCATCAAGGACACTGTCGGTCTGGACCAAGCTATCAGTCTATTCATATCTAAATCAATTACTTGTAGGTTTACAAGGCTCCTGGCTATCTTTCTGCCTATTGTAGTTATTTCATTATTTCGCGCTCTTAATATTTCTAATGACTTCATGTTTTCGAAAACATCTAATTTCTTTAATGCGATGTCGTTAGCGTAGACTACTTGTAGGCTGTGTTCTAATCCGCGCAACGCGTCATCATCTGCGAATATATTTATATTTCCCGATACATCTAGAAACTTCAAAGAAGTGCCAGCTAAAAGCCCCGGAATCAAATTTGACAAACCTGCATGGCAAATCGACAGTCTCTGCAGTTTTGCACTCACATGTCGGAATCCATCAATATTACGTTGAGCCATTTTAGTAAAAGAGAAATCTATTGATTCAATATTAACTAATTCTTGGAAAACGTTGCACTCGTCGAAGTACAAGCCTTGATACGTTCCGTACTCATCGAACTCATAGTTTCTGCTGAAGTCCAAATGTATAAGTCTTTTCAAGCCTGAAAAAGTTCCTGCGCTTATCAAAAATATGTTGTTTTCCCCCAGGTATAGTTTCTCAAGATATGGCATGCCGCTAAACATACTGTCTTCTAATTTTCTGATTCTACACAGGCGCAAATCTAACTCACGCAGACGTGGAAAGGTGACCCCGCGTAAACCATTTGACCAACAATTTGCAACTGTAAAACATTAATAAAATAATGTACCACATATTATACTTAGACACAAACACATTCAACACGTCGACATTATAAATTCATTTATTTATTAATTCATTCATTATAGATTTCTTCATAGATTGCCTTATAGATAGGGGTATCCGCCATAGTTGAATACTTGGCAGGTGGATTGGGAACCATATTTTTTTATTTTTTTTTATTGTTAACAAGAAGATGGTGCTGCCCATCTCCTGTTCCAGTTTCTCTCTGTTGCCTATTATGAAACCCACAGTATAGTGCAGTGGATACTCTTACACCGCCAAAATACACCAATGGTTTAAATATTGCCAGGTTGAACTTGAAGTTTTCTTTAGCCGGCTAAGCGTGTAAATACAAACAATATGATGGTGGAGTAAGAGAGTTCATTATCCCATTTCGTGCTATGAGTGTAATGAAAGACGACTGTGGGATATGTCAGAAGCTACTAATGGCTTCCCACAGATAGATACAGTACAACCTATCGTATTTACCAAACGTACCCCGACCGGTGCCTGGAAGCAGGATGAACGGTAAGAATCGTCTGGTACTGCAATCGCTTATCCAACTGTCAACTGTCAACCCTGACTAGGGGCAAATCCTCTCTATAACGTAAATTCCAATATCCAAAAGTAGACTTCTATAGGATGAAGAAAGCCTGTCTTCCATAAACTGTTGCAGATGATGATCAGGATAAGATGGTCTAAACACAAGATAACTTACTATTTCGCTCAAATGAAGTATCTTCGAAAGCACTTTTAGCATTTGTCGCGTTCATTTGTACATCATAAGGGTGAAAAGTATATTCTATTGAGAAGTTGTTTCCAGTCAGTGTCAAATATTCAACGGTCCCTGATAAAGTATTACCACAAGAATCTTTGTAATGGAAAACCTGAAACAAGTTAACTCAGATTATAGAAGGAAATACAATACAAACAAATAGAAATGTCAATTTAGCTATGTGACAACACTGTAGAAACACGTGCGATAGTGTGCATGAGTTTGCCAAGGTAATGAAAAAAATCACAACTAGATAGCTAGCAGCATAAAATTTACGTAATAATTCTATGACTTCAACTTTCAACTTGATATTTTTATATCAAAATCTATTTTCTTTATTTTACAAATTTTACTTACTCATCACACTTCTACTTCAATTTTAAATAAAATTTTCGAATTTTAAATAGAATTATAGCTTGATATATTATATCGTTGGTGCGAATCTGTTAGTGATTGTGTATCTTCTGAACTTTGACTGATACGGGTGTTCGCACCACTTTGCAACTACCGCAATCTGCTTAACCTATTTCCGGGTTTCCTATCTACCGCCTTTTATACCTTTAGCATGTGCACTCTGGTGTTAACGGGATTCACATAAGCTCACAAGTTCGAAAATCACGTAACCAACCGCATATCGTATATCTCGCGTCATTGCTCCCGCCTTTGTGTGGTTTAAATATTGAACTATACAAGATCATAGTAAAGTGTATAAACATTTGTTATAAGTCTATATATCGCGATAATCTGAAAAGTTTATATGTGTGAAGACAGCCGGCATCCAAGCAACGTGGCTGCAACCGACACGAGGCAGATTAGCAGAAGTCCAGTTGATTGCACTTGCATTCCTTCACATTCTTCCCGTAGTAGCTCGAATTTAGCGACATTTGCAGTATCCCAAAATAGTAAATTCGCACCGTATCATACAGTACATTAATTTACGTAAAATCATCCTTTTAATAACTCTGAACCGGCGGTTGGTCATTTAATCCAACACACCTTTTTCGGCCCTTCGCCAGGATCAGAACCACAACTGATCAGTCCGGCCGGGGTAATTAATTTTATCCACCAACAAGTCATATTCACACAATATATTTGTTTTGTCGAAATGACAATTCATAGTTATGCTAGGATACGAAAGGTTATAAACAAAATCAATAATTATAGATCAAAATAACTCATGTTCATAAATATATTATATATTTGTGAATATGAGTTTAGATTTAGTGCCAAAAAGAAAATACAATCTGACACTGTAAAAAAAAACCGAAGTGATTTCGGAGAGAAATTATCGCGCTACCTACGCTAAAAACAAGGCAGAACAACGTTTGCCAGGCCAGCTATTAGCATAAATAGAGCTATACGGAGTACTATTCCATGGCCATACGAGTACATAGAAGTTATTGTAAATTAAACCTTTTATTTTTGTAAAAAAGAACTGAGGGAGACTCACCGAAGGAATAATATGAAACTGGCAATTTGCCATACTAAGATATTGCACCGAATTATTCCCTGAGCAAGGAAACTGTCGCAGCTGCCGCTGTAGTTGTCCAACGCAATCTAAGTGGTAAGAAACATCGATCGAGTTGTTGTCGTCTGAAATTATTAAAAACAAAAGTTTTATATATTTACCTAATGGAGCGTAACTACGAGTAGAGCGTGACATTAATGTAGCACGAATGAGTGAGCTCCACTTGGGAAGAACCAAACTTTTACAGAATATTCAGCGTTAAATAGCAGCATTCTGCTGCTAAAGCAAGTGGACTGTGTGCTTGTGGGTCACCTTTCTTTATGTTAATATAATATTACTATTTTTCACATTAAAAGGTATTATTTTTAGTGTTTACTTCCAATTTTTTTAATAAATATTAAACCACCACCACATAACGAGTCTGTAAAAGTGTATAGAGCTGTTCATGGGCGGCGGTTGTCACTTACCATCAGGTGAGCCGCATGCTCGTTTGCCCCCTCTTCTATAAAAAAAAAAGAGTACACTCGTTGTGTGGTGGCGGTGTACCCATTACCACATTTCTTTCCATGGGAGGCGTAAAAGGTTCTAAATGTGCGTATTTACCCGATCAGATTTTTATACCAGATATTGGCTTGATCATGAAGTCCTTGGTGCAATCCTGGGCCGGTCCAAAAATTAGTTATTGGGGTTTTCTGTCAATAAATTCTCAATAGTTAGCCGGAGTCAGGAAGTTGGTGATGTTTTACCGTAAAGCCGTTGGTCCTGCACCTGATATGAGAGTGAAACAAAAGAGAGATTGCACTCGTGCACTATCCTGTCCTGCGCATATGGCTAGTCTCGAAACTCAGTCTAGAGGACATTATTATTATTTCATGTAATAATTCTGTTTTGCACGAATTTTATCAGTGCTAGGTTAGTTTTGCTTATATTTTGAAGTTTTGACGTAAATATATTTCTCCTTGTATTCTCTAAATAAAAATATTTAATTTATACCTGGATACACTATAAGTCTTCCGTCGTAGTCGGTCCAAGATTGCACATCCGTCATGTAGCCCGTGAGGCATTTCGGTATATGCGGTGGAGGCTGCGGCGATATCACACGGATCAGGCATGCGTAAATCCTGGAAATTTTAAATAAATATATATTAATTTCCACAATTCAAATTTCAATCTAATCCCATATTTCCAGGAAGATCTCCGCTTTTATTAAAAAAAAAAGAAAAAAAAAACAGAAAAAGTATTTTTTTTATTCAATATAGATTAATAAATGGACGCTGATAAGGAATATGAAACTACTACAAATACAAATACAATATCAAGCCACACGAATTTTATTTTGGGAAAATGAGATGTCATACCAATTTTTGATAAATTTGTTTTAAAAATATATGTACCCACAGGTTCTTTTCTATTTGATGAAAGGAATAATGGATTGAAAGTAGACATTTATTATAAAAAGAGAAAAAAAAACTGCTAAGTTTAAAAAAATGAGATTATTACATATTGCAAAATATGGGATACGCTATAATATTCGAAACAAGAAATTAAGGAACAAAATAGGTAGGTAGGTAATTAAATTAAATGTATGTTAAAGAACATAAATGAATATCGATAAAAGTATGTTCTCATAATTTGTAAAATAAAAAATTTTGAATAATAGTCGTAAATATTTATTTTTATTGATATGAAAATGAAAAAAAAAACATTTTTTAAACAAGAGCCTGAGGAATAGAAAATTTTATTTTCAAGAAAATTTTATTTTACCATTCCTGACTTATTGTTTTTAGCAAAGTATTATAAGCTTAAAATGTCATCAGTAACTTTAAGTCAGTCTTATTTTTGTAAACATTTCATTAAAGTTAAGTTAGTTAATTAACATAGATATTTTATTATCACTTAGTTAAGTATTTTAATATCACTTTAACTTAAATAACTAATACGATTTATTTTAACAGGTTAGGACTATTTTTAAGAGATCTTTGAATTTTGAGACCTTTATGAACATTCTTAAGTATTCAGATAAAATTAAAAATGAAACTTAAAATAAAAATTTAAACTGTAACTAATTATAACAAAAATGAAAGTTTTTCTTTTACAAAACTTAGTCTTTCTTCCTGAATAGTCCAATAATAATTATTATTTTTATAGGATAAGGGTAACATATCAGTACAGAGGCCACCTGATAATAATTGGTTGCTGCAGCCCATAGACATCTACATCTATTCTCGATTACGAATCAAAATACAGAATGCGTTTTCACCCGTGAGGAGTAAGATGTAATGCATCGTTTCCAGTAAAAAGTGTATCCGGTTCTCTACACTCACCATACGAGACACAGCAGCGTCAAGCTGCTATCTTACAATGGTATTCTCTGGTCGAGCCGACCCATTTGTGTTACAACTATACCTACTACTAATATAGTTGCAGCATGGCTCTACCACGTACATTATATAATAATATTTTCAACTAAGCAAGTGTTTATGTATCCAGAAGTTTAATCAGTCTTATTGTAGAATCATTTCACTTAATATTATCTAAAACTGATATAACCATAGCTTTAACTAATATAGCAAAGAAATTACAACAGCTAACATGTAAGTTAACAAGAAAATGCTTAATCTTCAATCAAATTTTCTTCTATATCGCAATCAATAGAATTACCCAAGCCATCACCATCATCAATAAAATGTGCAAATAAGATGCATACAACCATGTGTCAAGAGTAAGTAAGATAGCGCTTTAGGCTGCCTGACCATGCTAACCATGCTGGAAGAGAAGCGTGGAATTTTGCTTTTGACGCTAGGTCTTTCTCAGATGGTAAAGGTGGCGACTAGGGACCCGATATAGACGGTCACACAGCAAATTGCTTGGATCTTCTGCTGACTACCGATACAGACAGATATGAAGTACAGGTTACCTCTCCTTTGGGTATATCTGACCACTGTTTGGTGAAATCTGTATCGTCATATTCTCCACCTAATTACGAGCCCCAAGGTGTTCGACGAATATGGCGGTATAAGTCAGGTGATTGGGATGAGATGCGACACTTTTTTGCCTCTTATATTTGGCGGGAGGTTTGTTTCTCTTCTGCGGATCTGTCGAGCTGCGCGGTTGCGATAACGGATGTGTTGCATGAAGGTATGGAGTATTTTATCCCCTTCTCTGACCCTCCCGCCGGCAGCAAAGCTCGCCCATGGTTTAACGCTGAATGCGCCCAAGCTAAAAAGCGCAAGCATTTAGCGTATCTATCCTGGGTTGACGCTCAAAACTGCAGAGCTCCGGATATTAACTCCAAGAAGATAAATTTCAACCAGACTGCCAAGTCCTACAAAAAAGCATTACGAAATGCTAGCCTCGATTGCATTAAACATATTGGCGCAAAACTTTTTGCCAGACCATCCCGCACTAGAGCTTTCTGGTCTCTCGCCAAAGCGGCCGAGACAAACTTCTGTCGGCCTACCGGATGGCACACTGGCGCATACGGCTAAAGAGAAAGCGGATCTGTTCGCATCTCTCTTTGCCAACAACTCACGTCTGGACAGTGGCAACGACGTTCCACCAAAATTACCTCACTGCGAGACCTCTATGTCGGAGGTTCGTATAACAAATAAGAAGGTTCTTAAAACCTTGCGGTGTCTAGACGTGAATAAAGCTAGTGGACCAGATGGTATACCAGCTATAGTTCTAAAAGGCTTGTGCACCTGAGTTGTCTTCTGTGCTAACACACTTGTTCCGCCTCTCATTTAGGACTGGAATAGTGCCAAAATCCTGGAAGCTGGTCAACGTGCAGCCTGTTCCAAAAAAGGCATCCGTGCTGACCCTGCCAATTATCGGCCAATCTCAATTACCTCCATACTCTGCAAGATTATGGAGCGTATATTGAACGCCCGCTTAATGGCATACCTAGAACAGAATGACCTCCTTAGTGACCGGCAATATGGGTTTCGCCGAAATCGGTCAGCTGGGGACCTTCTAGCGTATGCGACACACGTATGGGGCAAGGCACTCGAGTACAGTGGGGAGCACTTGCTGTTTCCCTTGATATCTCGAAGGCCTTTGACAGAGTTTGGTACACTGGCTTTTTGGGTAAGCTTCCAGCGTAGTGCTTATCCCCTGGTCTGATTGAATGGGAAAAGGACTTTCTGAGTGAACGGTCTCTCCGGGTCGTCGACGATGGCTACAGATCCGATCCTATGGTGACTAACGGCGGTGTTCCTCAGGGGTCCGTTCTCTCCGCAACTCTTCCTACTGCATATTAATGATCTGCTTATACCCGGTATCTATGGGTATGCAGACGATAGCACAGTTGTGTCCGTGTGAATCTCACACTACAGGCAGTCTCCGAATGGGGCGATGCCAATCTTGTGAGATTCAACGCCTCCAAAACTTACATAAATACTTACAAAAGTATTTATTTGATTTTTAAGTAACTTAACTCTTTTGCATAATATTTAATACGTGATGCGTTGTCAGAATACATCAATATCTTCGAATTAGACTTATTGTGGGTTGACACATTATTGCTTATCAGCATTCAAATTATACTTATCTTCCTATGCTTATGTATACTCTAATGCCCAAATACTCAAAGGCTACTCAATTTTAGGACGTCGTTAAATCTCGTGGTGTCACAGTCACTTTGAATTAAAGTGATAGAGACAGCACGAGACTTAACGGTGTCTTAAAATTGAGTGGCGTTTGAATGTGTGGGCATAAATAACTAATTGAAAATCACTTTTACGTTTAATTTACCACTGTTTCGAAAAATACGTCTGTCTTGAGAAGAACTAGCAACAAAAACCGCCGGGCTTTTTTTGAAAAAAGAACAGCTTACATTCATTATATTACACAAAACGAATTATATACGTGGTAGAGTCATGCTGCAGCCATATAATAATTAAAATTATGATTATATAATATAGTTGTAGCACGAATGGGTCGGCTCGACCGGGGAAAGACCACGCGCTCACAGAATAACAGCGTAATATTTTTTTTTGGGTTGGGTGACAAACGAGTACACAGTCCACCTGATGGTAAGTGTTTGCTGTGACGCATTGACATCTACATCTATCCTCAATAAAGAATCATAAACATACAAAACACAGCAGCATTACGCTGCGTAATGATGCTGTGTTTTGTATGTTGAGTGTAGAGAACTGGAGACATTTTTTTGCTACGCTCCGCCCTAACTGTAGTTATACTTTTGATTACTATCGACTTTAAAAACAAAAAATAATAAAATAATTTCCACGTAATGGAATACAGAGTGAAGGATAAGAGGGATATGCTACGCTCCGCCCTAACTGTAGTTGTACTTTGATAAAAGTAACTAGCGACTTTAAAAATTACAAATAATAAAATAATTTCCACGTAATGGAATACAGAGTGAAGGATAAGAGGGATATGCTACGCTCCGCCCTAACTGTAGTTGTACTTTGATAAAAGTAACTATCGACTTTAAAAATTACAAATAATAAAATAATTTCCACGTAATGGAAAACAGAGTCAGGGATAAGAGGGATATGCTACGCTTCGCCCTAACTCTAGTTGTACTTTTGATAAAAGTATCTACTTTAAAAACTAAAAATAATAAAATAATTTCCACGTAATGGAATACAGAGTCAGGGATAAGAGAGATATGCTACGCTTCGCCCTAACTGTAGTTGTACTTTTGATAAAAGTAACTATCGACTTTAAAAACTAAAAATAATAAAATAATTTTCACGTAATGAAATACAGAGTCAGGGATAAGAGGGATGTGCTACGCTCCGCCCTAACTGTAGTTGTACTTTGATAAAAGTAACTATCTACTTTAAAACCTACAAATAATAAAATAAATTCCACGTAATGGAATACAGAGTCAGGGATAAGAGGGATATGCTACGCTCCGCCCTAACTGTAGTTATACTTTTGATTACTATCGACTTTAAAAACAAAAAATAATAAAATAATTTCCACGTAATGGAATACAGAGTGAAGGATAAGAGGGATATGCTACGCTCCGCCCTAACTGTAGTTGTACTTTGATAAAAGTAACTATCGACTTTAAAAATTACAAATAATAAAATAATTTCCACGTAATGGAAAACAGAGTCAGGGATAAGAGGGATATGCTACGCTTCGCCCTAACTCTAGTTGTACTTTTGATAAAAGTATCTACTTTAAAAACTAAAAATAATAAAATAATTTCCACGTAATGGAATACAGAGTCAGGGATAAGAGAGATATGCTACGCTTCGCCCTAACTGTAGTTGTACTTTTGATAAAAGTAACTATCGACTTTAAAAACTAAAAATAATAAAATAATTTTCACGTAATGAAATACAGAGTCAGGGATAAGAGGGATGTGCTACGCTCCGCCCTAACTGTAGTTGTACTTTGATAAAAGTAACTATCTACTTTAAAACCTACAAATAATAAAATAAATTCCACGTAATGGAATACAGAGTCAGGGATAAGAGGGATATGCTACGCTCCGCCCTAACTGTAGTTGTACTTTGATAAAAGTAACTATCGACTTTAAAAATTACAAATAATAAAATAATTTCCACGTAATGGAAAACAGAGTCAGGGATAAGAGGGATATGCTACGCTTCGCCCTAACTCTAGTTGTACTTTTGATAAAAGTATCTACTTTAAAAACTAAAAATAATAAAATAATTTCCACGTAATGGAATACAGAGTCAGGGATAAGAGAGATATGCTACGCTTCGCCCTAACTGTAGTTGTACTTTGATAAAAGTAACTATCGACTTTAAAAATTACAAATAATAAAATAATTTCCACGTAATGGAAAACAGAGTGAGGGATAAGAGGGATATGCTACGCTTTGCCCTAACTCTAGTTGTACTTTTGATAAAAGTATCTACTTTAAAAACTAAAAATAATAAAATAATTTCCACGTAATGGAATACAGAGTCAGGGATAAGAGAGATATGCTACGCTTCGCCCTAACTGTAGTTGTACTTTTAATAAAAGTAACTATCGAATTTAAAAACTACAAATAATAAAATAAATTCCACGTAATGGAAAACAGAGTCAGGCATAAGAGGGATATGCTACGCTCCGTCCTAACCGTAGTTGTACTTTTGATAAAAGTAACTATCGACTTTAAAAACTAAAAATAATAAAATAATTTCCACGTAATGAAATACAGAGTCAGGGATAAGAGGGATATGATACGCTCCGCCCTAACTGTAGTTGTACTTTGATAAAAGTAACTATCTACTTTAAAACCTACAAATAATAAAATAAATTCCACGCAATGGAATACAGAGTCAGGGATAAGAGGGATATGCTACGCTCCGCCCTAACTGTAGTTGTACTTTGATAAAAGTAACTATCGACTTTAAAAATTACAAATAATAAAATAATTTCCACGTAATGGAAAACAGAGTCAGGGATAAGAGGGATATGCTACGCTTCGCCCTAACTCTAGTTGTACTTTTGATAAAAGTATCTACTTTAAAAACTAAAAATAATAAAATAATTTCCACGTAATGGAATACAGAGTCAGGGATAAGAGAGATATGCTACGCTTCGCCCTAACTGTAGTTGTACTTTTAATAAAAGTAACTATCGAATTTAAAAACTACAAATAATAAAATAAATTCCACGTAATGGAAAACAGAGTCAGGCATAAGAGGGATATGCTACGCTCCGTCCTAACCGTAGTTGTACTTTTGATAAAAGTAACTATCGACTTTAAAAACTAAAAATAATAAAATAATTTCCACGTAATGAAATACAGAGTCAGGGATAAGAGGGATATGCTACGCTCCGCCCTAACTGTAGTTGTACTTTGATAAAAGTAACTATCTACTTTAAAACCTACAAATAATAAAATAAATTCCACGTAATGGAATACAGAGTCAGGGATAAGAGGAATATGCTACGCTCCGTCCTAACTGTAGTTGTACTTTTGATAAAAATAACTATCGACTTTAAAAACTAAAAATAATAAAATAATTTCCACGTGATGGAATACAGAGTCAGGGATAAGAGGGATATGCTACGCTCCGCCCTAATTGTAGTTATTAGGATTATGGGTTCGGATACTCAATAAAATGTTTTCTTGATAATAAATCTTTTATTTAGTATCTATGCACATTCACGGTAAGAAGTTCTACAGTTCTACAAAGCAACAACGCCATCTGGCTGCCAATAAAAAAAATATAAATGAATGCGTTCAGATTTAAATTTTCTTTTTCTAAATTTAACACTCCCACTAAAATTTAAATCTCTTAACTAATTATCTGATCCCTTATATAAGTAAAAGTTTGAGTGGGCAATGCCTTAGTCAATATATCTGCTAATTGATCTTTACTAGGAACATAATTAATTTTAATCATGCCCAACTCAACTTTTTCTCTAATAAAATAGTATTTAACATCTATGTGCTTCGTTCTTTTATAATAAACAGGATTATTTATTAGTTTTATCGCACTTTGATTATCAATAAACATAGTTACACATTTACAATTTTCACCTAAATCTAACATTAATTGCCGCAGCCATATCATTTCTTTTGCTGCTTCACATGCAGCTACAAATTCTGCCTCAGTAATGGAGAGAGCAATGGTTTTTTGTTTTTGGCTGGACCAAGTAATTGGTCCACCGTTCATCATAAAAATATAGCTTGTTGTTGACTTACGTGTATCGACATCACTTGCATAATCAGAATCAGAGTAACCTATTAAGCCATCACTTTCTCCATACCTTATACACAAATCTTTAGTATTAATTAAGTATCTAACTATACGTTTGACAGCATTTACATGTTGCTGACTAGGATTGTTTACATATCTGCTTAATACATTCACAGCAAATGATATGTCAGGTCTAGAAACAGAACACAAAAATAATAAAGAACCAATAAGTTCCCTATATGGAAAATTAATAATGTTTTCATCCTCATTCTTTGTCATAATTACATTGACATCTGCTGGAATACTAGTTGGAGTTGCATTTGTCATACAAAATCTCTCAATAATTTGTTCTATATAATCTCTTTGGTGAATATGGATACAATTATTTATTCTCTCAATTTCCATACCAACAAAATATCTCAATGGCATCACTTTTATTTTAAAAGCTTGTTTCAAATATTCTATAATTTCTTGGATCAGTTGTTTACTAGAAGATATTACAAGGGCATCATCAACATAAATAATTAAAATTACTTTAATCTTATTGAAAACCCCTATAAAAATACAATTACCAGCCTGAGATTGTACAAAACCATATTTCATTAAAAACTCAGCCTTTTGTTCCAACAACGAGAGGCCTGTTTCAACCCATACAAAGATTTATTTAATTTTAACACATAACTTTTATCTAAAATTACACCCTCAGGCACTTCTATAAAAATATTTTCCTCAAGATACCCATTAAGAAAAGCAGTCTTTACATCAAACTGTTGAATTTCTAACTTATACTTTGCTGCAATAGAGAGAATAATTCATATAGAGTCATACCTAGTAGTTGGAGAAAATATTTCTTGTTAGTCCACATCTTTAATCTGAGTAAACCCTCGTGCACACAGACGAGCCTTGTACCGTGTCTGATTATCTTCATTCTTCATGATTGCGAAGACCCACTTGGTAGTAAGGGTCCGCTGACCAGCTCTTGTTACCGCACTCTATGTGTTGTTCTCTTCATGTGCAGATAATTCTTCCCTAATGGCTTGTGACCATTCATTTTTCTGTGGACATTGTATGGCTTCATCATATGTCTGAGGTAATGACAATTCAACAAGGTTAGCTTCAAAACGTCTATTATTTCTTGGCCTCAAATTTATGTTACACTGTGGCACATCTTCTATTTCTTGAGATGGCTCATATGTAAGATCATCACTGTTGCAACTCAATAAGCTGTCATCAGATTGTAATGCTACAGTTTCCATTAGTGTTTCATCCACATTTCTTGCTACAGTTTCATCATTTTGTATCTTATCTTCATTTTCATCAGTTATACATATTCGATTAATATTCTTTCTTATTGCTGGAGTTTGATGTTCATCAAAAATCACATTTCTTGAAATTTTGATTGACTTATTATTTACATCATACATTCTGTAATTGGTATTATCATAGCCAACAAGCATCATTTTTTTACTCTTCTTTTCTAATTTAGTTCTCAATTGATCTGGAACATGTACATATCCAACGCTGCCGAACACCTTCAAATGACCTAATTGTGGTTTGATACCATTCCATAATTCATATGGTGTTTTACCCGGAGTCTGGCTTGAAGAAGTTCTGTTCAATATGTAAACTGCACAGCTCACCGCTTCAGCCCACAGCTCCAGTGGAACATCTCTTGCATACAACATGGAGCGAGCACTTTCTACTATGGTTCTATTTTCTCTTTCTGCTCGTCCATTTTGTTCTGGTGAATAAGGAGCAGTTAGCTCATGCTGCCCTCTTTGTCCAAATATTCCTTGAAAACTTTGTTTACATACTCTCTACCATTATCAGTATGTAATATTCTTATACTGTGCATGTATTTATTCTTCACAATACTATTATATTTCTTAAACATTTCCATAACATCACTTTTGTTTTTTATGAAATATACATGCCTGTAACTAGTTACTGCATCTTTGAACAAGACAAAATATCTCATTCCTTGAACTGATGTGCAAGACATTGGTCCACAGACATCACTGTACACTAATTCTCCAGGTTGTAGTTCTCCTCGTACAGATTTGTGAAATGGAAACCTGCACTGCTTTCCGTATGCACATGCCTCACATACAAAATTGTTTTTATCATTTTCATTAATTTCCAAACCTGTAACAACATTATTTGCACACATACTCTTAATTTCTTTTAGGTTTAGATGTCCCAGTCGCTCATGCCACATTTTGATATCACTTTAATTATTCTGGACCAAGTTGCAAGTATCTGGGGTGATTGCTTTTATATTCAGCTCATATAAATTATTTTCTCTGATCCTGGCACTCATAACCACTTGATTATCTTTATAGATCAATGCATTTGAATCTTTCTTTATAATAGTGTATAATCTCTTCTTATTATGGCACCTTCTGAGAATAAGTTTCTTCGCAGACTTGGGACATACAACACATCAAGTAGTTCACTGGATTCCCACTGTCCATTTATATATCTTTTTATCAACACTTTACCAATGCCACACACTTCTACAGACTGTTTGTTTCCTAAAGTTAATATCTTCTGACTGCATTCAACCAGTTCCATAAAGAATTCCTTTCTATAAGTCATATGTGCAGAGGCTCCACTGTCTAGAATCCAAGTATTCTCTTCTGTGCTAGACGCGTTATTCTCTACATAAAACGCTAACATATCTGCACCTTCTTGTTGAGGTTTTCTTGACTTAAATTTTCTTGGAGCACGACATTCTCTAGCAAAGTGTCCTCGCTTTCCACAGTTATAACATTCAAACCTGTGTTTAGTATTTTTATTTTGATTTACTCCACTCTGCATCGGCTCACTTTGTTTTGATTTCAACTTCCATCCTTTATTAGCAACAAGGAGAGCTGTTTCTTGTTCTTCTTCGCCTACTAAACTTGCTTCTTCATCTAAGAGGCGAGCAGTTAAATTCACAATAGTCTGTTGTTTTGAATCCAATGACATCCACGCTTGGCGCAGTGATCTGTACTTAGGTGGCAATGTTCCTAAAATTTTTGTTATGATGGCCATGTCACTGACAGTCTCACCACTCTCTTTTAGTTGTTTAGCCAGGGATTCCACCTTTGAGATATGTTGAGCTACACTGTCACCCGGCAACATTTTATACTGATAAAACTTTTCATGGACTAGCATTTTACACAACTCACTCTTTTGTTCGTATACCGATTCAAGTTTTGTCATTATTTCCTTGGCAGTCTCACAATTCTCTATTAATGTTATTTGTTTGAAATCCATTGACGAAGTCATGATGAACATTGCCATACCATCATTTTTCGACCATTCAGCACTGTTTTGTTCCGTTCTTGGCACTCTGATATCAATTCCTTTTGCCTTTAAAGCGCATTTTATCTGGAATTTCCACTGGCGAAAATTATTTCCATCAAATTTCTCGAGATTCATTGACCGCGTGGTATCCATTTTTAGGTTATTTGTCAATGAATATTCCGTACTATTCCGTAGCTGTTGTAATATGTTTCTTTACCTTTCCTTTCTATTAATAGTGTCCTGGGCCCATAAACTATTAGGATTATGGGTTCGGATACTCAATAAAATGTTTTCTTGATAATAAATCTTTTATTTAGTATCTATGCACATTCACGGTAAGAAGTTCTACAGTTCTACAAAGCAACAACGCCATCTGGCTGCCAATAAAAAAAATATAAATGAATGCGGTCAGATTTAAATTTTCTTTTTCTAAATTTAACAGCAGTTGTACTTTTAATGAAAGTAACTATCTACTTTAAAAACTACAAATAATAAAATAAATTCCACGTAATGGAAAACAGAGTCAGGGATAAGAGGGATATGCTACGCTCCGCCCTAACTGTAGTTGTACTTTTGACAAAAGTAATTATCGACTTTAAAAACAAAAAATTATAAAATAATTTCCACGTAATGGAATACAGAGTCAGGGATAAGAGGGATATGCTACGCTCCGCCCTAACTGTAGTTGTACTTTTAATAAAAGTAACTATCTACTTTAAAAACTACAAATAATAAAATAAATTCCACGTAATGGAAAACAGAGTCAGGCATAAGAGGGATATGCTACGCTCCGCCCTAACTGTAGTTGTACTTTTAATAAAAGTAACTATCTACTTTAAAAACTACAAATAATAAAATAAATTCCACGTAATGGAAAACAGAGTCAGGCATAAGAGGGATATGCTACGCTCCGCCCTAACTGTAGTTGTACTTTTGATAAAAGTAACTACCGACTTTAAAAACAAAAAATAATAAAATAATTTCCACGTAATGGAATACAGAGTCAAGGATAAGAGGGATATGCTACGCTCCGCCCTAACTGTAGTTGTACTTTGATAAAAGTAACTATCGACTTTAAAAACAAAAATAATAAAATATATTCCACGTAATGGAATACATCAGAGTCAATGTTAAGAGGGATACGTTACGTTCCGCCCTAACTATAGTAAAGCTTTTGCTAAAAGTAACTATCGACTTTAAAAACTAAGAATTGAAAAATAATTTCCGTTATGTGGAAATTAATTTAGCTTTAGAAGTCAGTACTAAGACAGTTTATTTAAGAATTAAAAACCCTACTTCTGAAGCTAAATAGTGAAAGTTATTTTATTTTAAATTTTTTTAAGTTAGTTTTTACTTTTTTTCGCAAGTTTAATTCTTACCCCCTTTTGGGCGGACTAAGGAACATCACAAGTTCAAGGTAAGAACTAGAATGTCGTATAAACAGTTACATCGAAAAAATTATCCCCTATTTAAGAGTGGAAAGTTTTCTTCAAATTTATATGAGACCACGCCTCAAGTGTAAGCTATTTAATAAAAACATAATCATTTAAATCAGTACTGCCATTTACAATAAATCGGTTAATATACATATGCGTCAATATAAAACCTACTTCTTTTAGGGGTTCCGTACCCGAAGGGTAAACAACGGGACCCTATTATTAAGCCTCCGCTGTTCATCCGTACGTCCGTCCGTCTGTTTGTCTGTCGGCGGATTGTATCTCATGATCCGTAATAGACAGACAATTGAAAATTTCACAGAATGTGTATATCTGTCACCGCTATAACAACAAATAATAAAAATAAATCAAAAATTAGGGAGGGCTCCCCTACTAGAAACGTATTTTACTATAGTACGGAACCCTTCATGCACGAGTCCGACTCGCACTTGGCCTGTTATTTTATGTGGTTTAGAAATAGTGGTAGTATATTAATCTTTTATTGCCTTGTATCTTACTATTGTTAAAAGATATTAATTTATCGGAAATGAAAACGGGAGATCCCACTTGTGATCTCGGAAATACATCAGGATAGCGTTAACTGTTAAAAATAATAAAAGTGTGAGAGCGGATGTTCAACTTGCTCTCTTGCTTACGCAGTTTAATCATTATCAGTAATAAGACAACGTAACGCACTATACATTCAGTATAGTGAAATTACAGTTCGACCACACCGTGACACGTCTCTGCCACAATCACACACCAGTGTAACGTGAGGTACGTAATTACATGATAACACCAAAATATGAAAACCAACAGCAACACTACTTATCTCAATGTAACACAGGGCAGCCTCTCAGCAACACCAATCCGCCTTGTCTGCACACTAGCTGAATAACAATAACGAACAGAATCACGACACTATCTTAGCACTAGTAGAATGACCACACTCGTTGAATGACTGAAGCGGACTCTCTCGTGCACGGCACCTACAGTGAACTTTATACTACAGACACAAGAGGGGGTTTCTCGATATACCCTCCATTCTACCTCGATCCAACCGAACATTTTATAGACGCTCCGACAAATTAATTCTATAAAAGGCGGGTGAAATTTGTTTCGTAGTCGGTATCGACAACTAAATCAATCTTACATAGTTCAGTTTTTGATAATTATATATATATAGATATTAATATTCAAAAACTGAA